TTACGCTCGTAACGATTCAAATGGAAATTGGTAGCTGTGGAATTGTTTCGGCCAATTGAAGTGCGGCGAAGACAAACGAATGCAAACTCGATTAGTTGGCCTTTTAATTGGTACAATGTGTAGGGCATTAAGCCCAAATCAGCAAACAAACAAACAAACAAACAAACAAACAAGCAAACAAACGGGCAAACAAACTGAATTTTATTGCAAAGAAAGTAACTAAACCCAAACCGAAAATCCATGAAAAGGCCGTGACCGCAAAATCGGTCCGGATTGAAATCTGCCCTGCGGTTTGATTATATTTCATAATCCTGCTCCCTCGTAGGAATTACTTTTGGCACAGTTCCGTGCGAAGCAAACCACTAATCAAATACTATACTCGGGGAGTCTGGGAGCTTTTTGGGGGCAGGAGACAATTGGATTTGTGGGTCAGGGTGATGGGAAAGCCTTCGGAGCTCCAAGTACCCTTTCACATTGCCAGGATCTGAGCTAATAAAGTGGTTGAATTTTACAGTATTATTATTGTACGGAGATATCACATTATGAGGCACAATATATGTATTCATTTTATTCCCCATTTAATTATTCACAAAGTTGCCACACTAAGAAGCTCTAAGAAAATAATTATTTATATTTTTAATTTTAATTTAATTCAACACATGGTAAAATTATGTGCAGAAGGCAGCATTTCCACATTTTAAAGACTTAATTCTCATACCAATAAAACTCCCTCAGATTGCGCACTACCGATTAATTATTTATTAGTTAAGCTGTTACTAAGCTCCTGTTATTTATCTCTTTAATGGTTTCTTAAGCAGATAATAGTTAATTTTGTGTGTCCAGTGCGGCCAGAAAGTTGGTAAAGCAAACTAGTTGATTTGTTGAGTCGCAGAATGGTTTAATGAGTCTTAAACGCTCTTCTCAAAACTTGGAAAATGGCTGCGAGAATGTATAAAACTTGGCCACAAAGGGCAGGGAGCTACTGACCAAAGTAATTTAGCTGTAGGCCGCAAACAGAAGGCCGGAAGAAAAGGGGGCTTAAAGCGGAAGAGGGGAAGGGGCGGGGAATGGGAAATGGGGAATAAAAGGGAAGAGAACAGGGCCAAAAGCAGACAGAATCAGAGCCAGACAAACTCACTTGATGGCCGTCATCAGCAGGCCCAGAAGGCCCGACTTGTCACGTCTTTGTGGCCCGGGCTTTTCCCCCTTTTATTTCACCACCCCTGCTGTCGCCCTGTCTGTCAATTCTATCACCCCCTTTTATTGTGTATGTGTGTGTGTGTGTGTGTGTTTAATGACAGGACAGCTGCAATCTGCTGCAATGATATCTATTAATTACGGCACAAACTCTCGCAAATTGAGTTTTATTTCCACCGAAGTGGATATTCATTTGCATATCACTCATACGCCAAGTGCGCAGTGGCAGGCCACAAATTGGCCAAGCTGCAAGTGGCAAATCGTTGACAATACAATCCAAATGGCATAAACTATTTCCTCGCCCCGCAACTTGTAGTCGACCATCCTCGAAACGGCTCAGCCTTCGGGCTTTGTGTCCACTCGGTCTTGGTTACCAGGAAATCCAGTGAGAGACATGATTAAATTATCGTTGACTTTTGTTGCACCACCAGCCTCCCAGCTGCCGGCAATCGAATCGAAGACAAACGGGAATCGGTCGGGGATCGGGTGGGAATCGGAAGGGAACCGGGCGGAGGGGCAACTTGGCACCGGGTTACTCCCCTCGGCCAAATCAGATTAGTTGCCGGGATTCGTCGGGGACTTATTGTGTGCATATTGAAAATATACTTTTGTGCTGCTGCCATTGCCTTGGCTACCCACACCCATTCGATCGGAGCCAGATTGCAATTTTGGTATTAGAAAACTGAACGGGATTGCATACATTATTGTATTTACCAATGGGACTTAGTGATGGGATTACTCGAAGGGTAACTGTGATTGCAGCACTGATAGACATCTCACAATCTTTATTGAGAAGGCACTTCGGTGACTTATTGTGTCTTTATTTGATTTGCACTTCATCTGTTGTTCGACTTTAATCCCACAAAATAATTGACTTTTTCATGGTTGAACAACTTCTGATATTATTGGGTAAATGGGTTTGATATTGATACAATTTTACTTTTGCGAGGCACTCTTAAAACTTAAGAAACCCTTATGTAATTCTTTGAAATCGAAAACTTGGAAACACAATGTGAATTTGGTGAATATCAGCATCTTGAAAATTGTAGTGAATTGATATGATTCAAAGTTTGGAACTCGAAATTGGGTAAATGCATTTCGTCTTTGGTTGTCGTAAATTTGCTTGTTCAGTAGCCAGAGTTGCCATCATCATGCATGCAGCAAACGATGCACACCCTCCTATATCTATATCTATCTCGCTCTCGCTCGCCCACACACCCATAGCCTCATGCATTAGTAGAGTTGTCTCGCTCTAGAGTTGTCTCCTCTCACTCTTCTCTTGGTTAATTCGGTGATGTGAAAAGCTCACACTCTTTCTCTGTCTTTAAATCAACTTCTTTCTCTCTCTCTCTCTCCATCTCTTTCTCCCTCTTTCTCTCTACTCTATCTATATCTCTCCCTTTCTCTCTCTCTCTCTATCTCTATCTCTCTCTCTCTTTCTCTTCTGCCTGTCTTCTCTTTCTGTTTGTGCTTCATCCACAGGAGGTGCCCGCGTTGAGTGACGGAATCTATCACATTGATTCCTTCATACTGGATGCGCCGAAGAGCGCGATTTTCGTGGGATTACAGAATGATTTCATGTGCGATTTCTCCTACTCATCGGACGGGCAATTGGCGCCCAACGTGGGGCACGAGGGCTGCGATGAGCAGGCAGTTGGCATCGCCGACTCCGACTTTGATTCCCAGATGGACTCGCCCAAGCAGACGTGTGACTGTGATTTCGAGTTGGACCTAAACGTAGACGGTATTGGCGGGCAAGTGGAGTTGCAAATGCAGGATGCAGAGGAGGAGGACGAAGAAGAGGAACAGGAGGAGGAGGAGGAAGAGATGCAGCAGGCGGAGGATCAGGAGTACGACGATGGCATCGGTTTCAGTTGCGACAGCGACAGCGGACTCACTCTGCCCGAGGACGAGGACGCAGATGAGTTCGTCCTGGTCACCGGACACTGCCTGCCGAGCAACTCCAGCCACTCGTGCAGCAGCTCGATGCAGTGCAGCAGCGGTTCGAGCGGCGGAACGGCGGCCATCAGCTCGTCCACTTCGATGGAACTGGACATGGTGCTCACCCCGCCACCGCCGCCATCGCTGGCCAAGCCCAAGTCCGGCGTTCATCCCCTCAAGTTCCTGCACAAAATCATCTAAAAAGAAGAGTCTAGCAATGGGATGTCACTTGAAATTTATTCGCTCACGTACTGCGGCATTGGTGGCCTTGGTAGTGGTGTCCTTCGACCACCTGCTGCTGCTGCTGCTGCTGCAGACGCATCTGCATGGACATCATTAAAACCGGGCTGGGGAAAATTCGCAAAAAAAAAAAAAAGATTGCAATCCGATATCGAACCCCCAACCTTCGTTTTGGCCCCTTTCGTTCGTGCTGAGTTCACCGCAATCCCGAAATCAGAACAAAATCAAAATCAAAATCGAGTCCCGGTCCTTGGGGGAATGTGCAGTTGGGCGCGTCATTCTCCCCTCATTAAGTTAAGCTGCTAATTGTATGGCGGGCGATATCCTAGATATGCCCCCACCTAGGTAGGAATGCAACTCAATGCGGCATTGGGCGAACATAGTTAACAGTATTATGGATATAACCTCATTAAAAGGTTTGCAGTTTATAGAAATGATTATGCGAAAGTAGAGGCCAAGCCCGGTGGATCCAATAGCAATCAAAGATAAATAACTTTGAATCCTGGGTAAAGGGGAAATCGAACAAATTGAGATACTTTACCCGGTCCCTTTTTTAACCCTAAGTAGTTATCTGAAATGTATTAGTTTTATGCTCCCATTGGACAATCGGCAATCCGAAGCAAAGTAAATAGTTAACCGTTGGCTAAACGAATGGCTGCCAAAACTAATACCGCACAAAGGCTATACAGATATATATATATATATATTATATATACATAAATGGAAAATGGAAAATAAATATATAACAAAATTAAATGCGTACCGTTGGATCATTTAACTATTGACTTGTTGAAACCAATTACTTTTTGGCTTCGGTCGGAGGAATGAAAGAGATACTCGCTTTTAGTGATTTATGTGGCTTGCATTTCCTTAGCGATTTGCATTGAATTTCCCCCATTTTTCCATTATATTCCTTTTGAAGCAAGCAGCGGAGATGTTCGACAATGGAGAACAGAGAGTAATTGGCAAGGGATGCCGAAAGGTGCGCGCCATGTTTGCCATTGCCTTGTGGCTCCATTATGAATGCAATTTGAGGTGGATTCAGCTGGCTGACTGCTTTGCTGGCCATCGAGATTTGCACTGGCTGCTGCTCCGCGGATGCACTTCGTCCTTCATTATTCTGCATTTACGTATTAACGCTTCCCTTTATGCAGGCTTCAGGATTTCACGATTTCAGTCTTCCCCCTCCTTTCCCCTTGAACACACACACACACACACACAATCGATGTATTAATGAAGGGTAAAAGTAAAAGAGAGTGAAAGAGAAAGAGAGAGAGAGAGAGCAGGAGGCGACATCAGGTGGCAGCTGGCTTAATTGCCCGCCCACAGCAGCCACGCCGCCTTTTTCAGGTCCTGCCCATAATCCACAGTGCAGTGGGCTTTAAGGATATTATATTACGCGCTCTGCAGACACTTTCGATGCGAGAATATCGGGCTTAACCCGGATACCCTTTACCCCTTCCCCTTCCCTTTCCCCTTCCCCTCAATCCCCCCTTTCACCGTACCAAAATTAATTGAAAATATTTATTGTTATGCTTATTATGGTGCTCTCACCCCGCTCTGTTTCTCTCTCCGCATATCCTGCGTATCCTGTGCATCCTGCGTACCTGGAATCCCCGCAGGAGCACGTCCGCGAGTCCAAGGAGAGCAAGCTGGACGAGATGGGTCGCAACTCGAAGGGTCGTTCCAGGGAGAACATATCCAGGTGAGTCCTCAGTCCTCAGTCCGCATCCCTTTAAGTTTAAGAAGGAGCCAACACTTAATTGGCAATAGCCTGTCACATTACGTATACGCAGTGTGTGTGCAGTTGGGATACTAAATGCACTGGCTCGCCTTCTGATGGCTTTGCACTACTGTTGGAATAATAAAACACATTTATAGGGCATTGAGATACTTATTGAAGCATACAAGAAATATTATTTTACCAAACACTTTGAAGATAAGTGCGAAATCCATTTGGCATTGAAAACGTAGAATAGTATATAATAATGAAATGATTTATTGATTGTAATTTCTGATTTTCATCTGCTTTTTAGTAATTTCTATTCAATTTAAAAACTTATATAGATTAAGTAAGTTCATACTATGAGAAAAATTAAAGAGCAACTTATAGTTTAAAAAAAATTTCTTAATTGATTAGAGTTCAAGATTTGTATCTGCTTTTTAATATTTCTTCAAGTATTAAAAATATTAACATTACCCATTGTTGATCACAAAAAAGTTATCAAAGAATATCTAGCTTTTTGATAGCAAATATTTTTTGAGCAGGAAAAATATAATTTGTTTTCAGTCTCGTAAAAACGTACTTACCCTTATTTCCAAACGGTTTTAGCAAAGCAAACAGAAACTTGAAAGTGAAAAAAACTTCCAGGCCAGTTATCTGTGCAAGTCAGGTGAAAATACTGCATATCACCTTGATAGACCAGTGAAAATCCTTCCAAGCTAACCTGATTCCCAGCCATTTAACCGAGTTGGACCACTGAAAATTCCAGCAAATTCACCTGATTTTTCCATTCGGCAGGCAAAAGCACTCGCAGACCTCGCTGCAGATCCTAGACGACGTCTCGAACAGATACTACCGCGAGGCGATCCCCCTGTCGACGCAGTCGAGCAAGGCGGACCTCAAGGAGAAGGAGCACAGCATCCTGCGCCGGCACGCGGACATGACCCAAACGAGTCTCTGTGGCGTTGGCGAGGACGATGGTGAATCCAGTTCGACGACCACCGCCAACCACGAGATGATGACCAAGGCGGCCATGTCGGCGGTGCCCTCGAATGCCTGCGATATGGGCTGTCAGACGAGGTGAGTTCCACATCCTCTATACCCTGGATCCTCAAGCCCAAATCCCAGTTACCAGTTACCAGTTACCACTCACTAGTCACTAGTTCCCATACCAAGTCCCTATTCCAATCCCAATACCGATCCCGAGTGTGTGCCGTCAAATAGATGCCAGAAAATTGCAAAGTCAACGGCGGGCAAACACTAAAAACAATGGCGAAGTGCGGAGGACCGGTTAAAGTCCTGCGGAATCCAGGAAGTAACAGTGGGGGTTGTACTCTGTACTCGTGTGTAGTATGTGTGTGTACGCTCCTCCGAACGATGGAACAACACAAATCGATGCAAATATTTGTATTTGCATGCGTCTTTATTGGATATAGCGACAGGTCCCGCACAGCCGGAGTCGCAAGAGTCGGGAATGTGGGTTAGCACGATGGCGGAATGGCAGGATGCCAGGATGTCGAGATGGCGGAATGGTGAAATGGTGGGTTGGTGGGTTGGTGGGTTGCTGAGGATGGCAGAGGATGTTAGGATGCCAGGATGGGATGACATAGGCACTGGCTGTGGGGCTGACAGGCGGAATGCAGTGACACAATGCCGACGTGCCCAGATGAAGATGATTCATGCCACCGAATAGTGATGGAAACGAGTCACTGTCACTCTCACTGTCACTGCCGTTGTCACAGCCAAACTGCTACAGGTTGTTCCGGGTGATTTATTGGCGGGCTGGCATTTATCTTTTGGGCGCCAGTGTGCACATGCGGAAATTCAGATTCGAATGTCTCTGATTAAAGCGGTTTTAGATTAAGAGCCATGTTGTCTTCACGTTCGAACAAGTTGTTGTCACGACCAAAAATAACAATTTTGAATGTTTATACTTAGGCAATCTAATAATTGTATGGTTTAACTTACTAATTTTTCTTTGTATAAATTCAAATTAATATTTAAATGTTGGAAATAGAATAATTAACTGAAATTGCTCTGCTTTTCCTGATTTTTCTGAATGCTTATTGCTGCTAAATAAATATTTGCATTTATTCCCTAATTGAACTGTGTTGTTTTTATTTACTTATTCTGATATACTGATACTAACACATATGTATTAATTGTGAATGATTTGTTTACGTTGAAACTTTTTTTAATCAAATTTTGACATTAATGTGTTTGTAAATAGTTTTATAAGAACGAAGAGTTAATAGGGGGTCGTTGGTCATCACTGTCAAAGTGTTAGATAGTTATCTGTCAACGGGATCCTGTTTTTAGACCATATGCTTTTACTGCCATCTGACGGATTCAATTCAGCTGATTGGCGCTCACCATTGTCCCACAATCCCTGTCCTTTATGCTTACCAATGTGCCTTGTCCACATCAATTCTCCACACTTTAATAAAAAGAATAATCATTTTGTAGAAAAAATAAGATAAAGAAAAAATAATTAAAATAAATGCAATTTATAATTCAGAACTGAATTTAATTAAGAAAAGAATTTAACATTTAGTTAGTTATAATTTTAAATAAAGAAGGCTTTCTTATTATTTTGGTCTTGGCTAAAAGCTTTAACTTTTGGTAACATAATTTGCGACTGCGTTGTTTTGCTAATTGTTGCATACTTTTGAGGCTGTGGCAAAGTAAATTAGCCAAGTTAGTGGGAATAGTTGAGTGTGGTCTTGATTTAATTATTAAAAAACTACGAGTCTTGATATGGTTGAAATATTTAGGTTTTACACATAAGGAGAATTATTTCCTAATTTTTCCAGTGTCCCTGCCACCGATTGCCTTCGCGTGTGACTGACAAATATTAAAACCTTTCACTTTACTTTCTCCCCGCTCTCTCTTCTCTTCCCTCTCCTCTTTTTCTGCTCTTCTACTCCGCTCAGGGAATCGCTGTTTGTCAACAGTCCCGGAATTGGACCGTCGGCGGCGGCGAGTGGGGGAGTGGGTGGCGTTCCCGTTCCCCTTGCCGTTGGCATCGGCATCGCCGTGGCTCCCGGCGGCGGTGTCGCCACGCTAATGAGACAAAAGTCCAGCTCCTCCTCGCTGGGCGGCAACAGCGGCAATGGCAGTGGAGTGGGCGCCATGATGATGCCACCGCCGCCGCCGCGCTTCTTCTCCACCTTTGGCTACGAGCCATCGGGATCGCCATCGGTGGCAACGCTGACGAGGCGCAGCATGCACCATCCGCAGCAACAGCAGCAGCAACAACACCTGCAACAGCAGCAGCAACATAACCAGCTGCCCCGCCAGGAATCCATGGAAATGGAGGAGCGACACAGCGGACGCTCGCACTACGGCGGACTGCTGGTGAACCCGACGGCCAAGCCGCCGCAGGAGATCTGCCACCACCACCACCAGCACCAACAGCAACAGCAACAGCAGCAACACCAGCAACAGCAACTACAGCAACATCAACAACAGCAGCAACAACAACAACAGCAACAACAGCGATTGCATCATGCACATCCGCATCCGCCGAGTATTGCCGCCCGCCTGCCAACGATGAAAGGACACGGGGCATTGGGACAGACAACGATCCTGCCCGGCGGCAACAAGCAGCAGCAGCAGCAGCAACATCAACAGCAGCAGCAGCAACATCAGCAGAAGAACGAGGAGTCGAAAGTGTTCATCGACATACGGAATTCGGCACCAGACGTGATTATCATGACGTCCCATTGACATTTAAGGATGGCCCGCCAATCAGCAACAACAACAAGCAACAACAACAAGAATTGTAGTAACAGCAGCAACAACAGCAGCAACAGCAACATCGGCGGAAGGAGGAAACGTTACTGCAACTGGACATCGGACAACATATTAACCGCAGCCGCAGCGTCGCTGATGACACAACAAGGACAACAAGGACAACACGAAGGACACGAAGGAGGCGCGTTGCAATCAGTCTGGTGTTTTATTTTCCCACCCCCACCATGCCACGCCTCCTCCTCCCAGTTGCAACGCCCACATCCGGTTTGCATTCCGCACTCGCTTCGCTTTTAAAGTGAGGTGAACGCGGTCTCTTATGTTAAACTGCTGCCGTCTGCAGTCGAGAGTTTTCGTAATGAAGACGCCAAACTTTTTCTGTAACTATTAATTTTGAAAAGTTTCCGAAGCGACTTTATACTATTTTTTTATTATTATTTTTTTCTTTGGTTGGGTTGCTATTCGGTAAAGTTAATGGGGAAGTTGCTTTGAGCGCAGGATAAGGCGATATCAGTATGTATATGCAGTTGCGTTTAATATAACAATTTATGAAAGTTGGTTTTAAAGGTAGAAAAAGGTGAAGTAAATTAAAGCCACTTTTGGAGCTTTTGATCTAAGATTAAGTTAAAGGAAAATCGACTTTTTAAATGTACGATGGCATGTAGAAGATAATTTAATTAAAGTTTCCATAATAAGCGCAGCTGTATATAGAATACCTACATTTTGTATGATTATTGCTTGACTATTCAGAAATTCTATGTGCAAAATCATGTGTATTTGCCCCTTCTGAACTACCCACTCCACACTCCATCTTGCCATGTCACACCCAAATCGACTTGAAAGAACGCCAATTGAGGGTCTTTAAGACGACATAAGTCCACTAATAGCTCGACAGCGACTGGACCTGACTGGGCGAGACAAATGGAAGATGTGTCGGTCCGTTGGCCTCGGCCAGCCCCTTTGCAATAGCCAAAAGGGAATCCAAGAAGGGGAGGAGGGATAAGGGAAGGAAAAGAGTGGGAGGAGGGGAATGGCCCGAAGAGCTGTTCCAGTTGTTGTAGCCGGCGGATCGCAATTGCTGGCGACATTTGCCGGGCATTCTACGGCTGCGACAGCGGCATTTTCAGCTTGAAAACAATGCGAAACGCAGGACACAGATACGGATGCGAATGCGAATGCGGATCCGGATACGGCGGATGCGGATGCGAAAGGGGATTGGGGATAGGGATAGTGATAGTGATAGGGATGAAGATGGAGATGGAGATGGAGGGATAAGGATACAGAATACGGGGGAGTGGAGACACTAAGCAGACCGCTGACAACGTGGCGTATGAGCAACATGTCCCAGAACATTGTTATCGGACTCCACTGCCAGCAGGTCCACCAGTCAACCAGTCCACCTTTTCCATTCCCCATTTCCATTGCCCCAACTTTCCTCCAGCATGTTTGCCGCCTGCCTGGAAAAACGCTCGACAGGAACTTCTTCATTTACATGCATTGCGAACGTGGTCCATTTCACGACGATGTCGCGACCAGAGTCCATCCATCAAGAGCACGTGCTCGGAGCTCCATTTCAGGTTTGGGCTCTCACTTGGGCTTTCACTTGAGTTTCGGGTTTGTTTTTGGTTTGTGTTTGGGTTATGGGTTGGTTTTCAGCCCCGGTTCTGCCTTTCCCAACAAGCAGTTTGCGCGAAAATAGTTTTTAAGTGATTTCGGAGTGGTCCACTCCACTAGTTTTATGAAATTCATTGCTACTTCCCTTTTAAAAGGCCAAGCCAAGTGTCCGTTCTTAACCCATTAATTACCAGGGGCCATAAAATACACCACCTTTAGAGTTGGTTACTTACTTATTTTCTTGCAAAAATATTACAAGCTCACAAAATTAATGATTTTTAATAGTTTCTATATATTCTCCAAACTCAACATTTCACAGTTTCATAAACATAAAAAGTTAAATTTTTTAAAACAGCAAAAACAGCACCCAAACACATTTTCAATGGAAAACATAATAAACACAAATAGTACTTTTTTTTTAAATTTAAACTCCAATTTTTTTTATTTTTTTGCCCACAATTTTATACACTTTAAGTTAGGTTTACCCATTTTTTCTGTGTTCAGACGAAAATAAACGCCATAAAATCGATAAAAAAAAAAAAAAAACATTTTCAAAGGTAGTTTCCGCCCCAAAGTTGACTAGAGTGCTTTCCCAATTTACGTGGACTCTCGTGCAGCGTGTAATGGGTTAACGAAGGACCTGGAAATCTTTTTAGTTCATCTGCCATCTAAATCCCTTTCAATTAGATAAATTAGCTGGCCACCGATTTCTCCGCACCTGCAAAAGTTTCCCCATTTACAGGCGAACAGGTTTGTTCCCTGGAATCCGTCGGTCCGCAATTAGCTGGTCACCATAATGCGGTTGGTTTTTGGGGTTTTAGGTTTTGAAGCTTCAGGGGGTTTCGGGGGTGGGATTTTGGGGGGGACAGGATCATCTCAGCGGCTTGAGTGGTCTGAGTGGATCCGATGGTGTAAATATTGTCGCAGCTGGCCAAAAAAACATGGGGGTTGACTGTTGTAAAAATAAAGATGACAATGACAATGAGCGAGAGCGTTGGTTGGGGGGAAATCCATTTGATTGATTGAATTTAAAGGGCAGCGACAGCCAAGCGGGAAATGCGGGAAATCGGGGAAAATTACAAGACCGATGTCTGATAATGATAATGGCGATGATGATGGTGCAGTGCTGCAGCTTTTTTATTCTGTCCTAGTGAAAGCTCAAATCATTAGAGTGATTAAAGGTCGAGCTGACATGACAAGAGTTCCTCTGACTTGACTTGGACCCTCATCATCTTGAGCTCTCAAATCAGTCATGGAAAATTCTCGTGCTCTAAAATCTTCATCGAGTAAAAAGTGCGGAAATGTGAATTTAGACAATTGTACATTTTTAAGCGGGAAAAAGTCCGTCTTTTATTTTTTTGTATCACTTTCAAAAAATTAGTTTACAATTCTATTGTGCATGTTGACTTGTCTAGGAAATAACCCTTATCAATTTAAGGTCAAAAATCAGTCATGGATAAAAATGATTAGTTCCAGAAAAATTCATGCAAAGATTTTAGAAAAATGTGAAGCCAACATTATAAATTTATGCAGATGTTATACTTTATTGGATTAAATCACGCTGCGAATATTGTTACTTATCTTCCCTTCAAATTCCGTCTTTCGCCAAAAGCTCACTTTCATTTTTAATATATGTACTTTTAAGAACCCTGTCTTTACTTGAACTCAACCTTAAACAAATCTGTCAAAATGCTCTAAAATTAAGTTTCTAAAAAAATTGCAAGCCAAAAGAATTTAACCAAATGTAAATTTATTTTTAGGAAAATACTCACTTCTATTGTTTTGTAATCTCTTCTAAAAAATTAGTTAAGGACCAGGAAAATAACTTTCCCATTTCTAGGAAATTCACACCTCTGTTAAATATATAATTTCAAAACCGATTTGAGGGACAGGGAAATGTCTTGTTCCTTTTGTACATAAAGCTAAACAAATTTAGGCTTTTTTAGGCTTAATAATGAAATATTTTTAATCGTTAAATGATTTTTGTATTTGTTTTGTTATAATCCTGAGATCTATAGGACATTTTTCTAGCTAAAATGTAAGATGAAATTTAGCGATTTTACAAGAAAAAAAACAACATCAAGAATCTATACTAAAAAACTAAAAAAAAAAAACTTAAACAAAAAAGGTAATGGAAAATAATGTGTACCATAAGTCAGCTATGCGTAGGATTAAGTTAAATGTACGATAATTTTTTTTTATAAAAACATATACATAAATACTGAAAGTATCAAAATGAACTACAAAGAAACCCAGCAAAAAAATATTTAAAAACTTGTCTCTTTTTTTTTCCAAATGACTGCGAACATTGTAATTGTAAATTGTCGAGCGACAAAAAATGTATACACAAACGAGCATTAAATAAATACTTGAAAAAATGCTTTCAAAAGTATGGATTTAAATGGATATGGCGAAAGAGATAAGCGAGCAGAATTGTGAGTGAGGATTTGTGAGTGTTTGAGTGCGTGTAAAATAAGCCAAAAAGCGATCAAATAAAAATTAATTTTGTGGAAATGTGAACAATGCTTTCGTCTTGTCTTTTTTATTTCTGGGTGTCGCTTCAGTTGTTGGAATTACGCCTGAAAATATGCCAAAATGCCATTAGTTGGGCAGATCGGCCTGAAAGTAGATGGCACTGAGTGCGAATAACCACGGAAACTGACGGCGATGGAGGTCATCGGATGACCCAATTAGAGTGGAGCACAGTGAGTGGAGTCCGCATCCGCATTCACATTTAGGTAAACGAATAATTATGCGAAGCATCGCGAAAGATTGGGCATGTGATGTGCTCTCGAATGGTAGGTAACCAAATATAAACAATTGGAACATTCCGAAGAGAATTGTTCTATGTTCAATAGATTTTTTAGTCAAAAAATTTTGACTAGTTCAACCGCTCTTAATTACCCACTTCTTTTTCCGTTTTAAGTTGTTAGGCCCTTTAATTGAATTATCACTCAAGCTTTGAAGTTAGTCTTATATTTTAGCCTCAAGGAAAATGAATAATATAACAGATGTTTATTAAATTAAATTTATGAACAATTTCTAAATTAAAGGCATCAATTACAATCATTTGAAACTCGTTGCTTCAGAGTTAATGTGTATGCATAAAACCATAAAGTCAAACAGCAATTGCTCGATTAGCAAAATTGAGTTAGATATATTTACCTAATTAATAAAGCAATTTCCAGTCTTTATAATTCATGGCCTTTTTTTATTTTGGTAGTTCTCCAGCAATTATCTCTTGTGTCGCCAAAATCGAAATGTTCTAAGTGCTTCGCATTTGCCGCGTATTCAAATCTGAAACTTGCGGTGCGAAATGCAAATTGTGGTGCGCATCGCCATTGTTTTCCATAGATTTATGCACTCGGCCGATGCTGCGGCTGATTTGTGGTCAGCCATTTGAATGGCCAGCTCATCGCATCGCATCGCATCGCATTGGATCGCAACGCACTGCCCGAAATTCCCAGCCATATAAAAGTGAACACCGGCGGAGGGGGCAGTAGTCAGTTCCCAAGATGCCAACGCGCCAGTTTCACCTGCTGCAGCTCCAACTGCTCCTCGGATTTATAGTCCTGGCCACTGGTCAAAGGACATCGGTTCGCGTTCCGCCGCAGGACCTTCAGGTTCCGAATTTCGGGGGCGAGAGCTTCGAGAGATTCGGAGGTGCATCCGTATCCTCATCCGGTTCCGGATCGAGTAGTGGAAGCAGCGAGAGCCAGGAGACCAGCGATGAGATGCGGCAGCAGCTGAAGGAGCTCCTCGGCGATCAGTTGGCCAACGCCTTCGTTCCCTTGGCAACCACTCCCTTTTCCCCGGGAATAATTTCACCCACCTCGGGTTCAGCGGCACGGCAACAATTTGCAGCCGATGGGGATCAGGATCCGAACCAGGAGCCCAATGAAGGGGAATCCCCTGAGGAAGGGGGCGAGGAGGAGGAGGAGGAGGAAGTGGAGCAGGCCACTGAGCAACCACAACCACTTCCACCGCCGATTCCCCAACCCGATGGAGTCGGTGGGCAGGAGGAGCTCCCTGGAGGAGGGGAGGAGCTACCAGGCGGTCAGGAGGAGCTTACAGGTGGCCAGCAGGAGGTGGAGGACTATAATCCCTGGCGGGATAATTTCTACGACATCAACGAGGACGGCAGCTATGTCTTTGGGTGAGTTTTTCCAGCAAAGCCGTTTAAATGGTTGTTCCATAGGGCTTAAATCAATTCCCATTTCTGTGAAACTCTTGAAATAATTGAGTTTTTAAGCCTTGTGATTATCTTCTGCAAATGGAGGCTTTAACTTAGGTTAAATCATTCAACTGCCAATAAAATGGAAATGAGTCATAAAAAAGTTTATGACAGAACACTTGTTTGAGGATTTAAATCAACAGTTGGCTTGTGTTTTTCAATACAATAAAACTTAGAATAGTTTCTGCGAATTAGAATTTCAGTTTACATTTACGTTCTTTTCATTAACCCAATTCTAAAAAAGGTAAAAAGTAAGTTAAAGGATTTCCTATAAAAAAACATTAATAACATCTTATTTTTAAAACCCCCCTTTTTATATGTGTTTTGATTAATATTTATAAAGTTTTATTTATTGAATTTATTTCAATAACACTTTCCCAGTTACTCAATTCCGCATGGCGTTCGTCGCTGGGAGAAGGGTTTCTTTTCGGAGGAGCAACATGGCAAGGTGGTCGAGGGCTTCTACGTCCAACCAACCCACATTGCCCAGGGCCTGAGATACGAACTGCGATGCTATAGGGCCGATGCCAATGGATATCAGCCCCTGCCAGGTGAGCAGTTTAAAATAGTTTTTAAATATTTCAAACACAAATATACCTGCAAACTTTGCAGTGGAGTTTCTAGCGACGCCGCCGATCGTGAGACGCGATGAAGTGCCCCAGGTCAACTGCTTCCGTAAAAGTCGACGATTATAAAAAGATATTCAAATATGCGTACTTTATGTGAAAGTGAAAAAAAGTCCCAAACTCAGTAGGTAACACCTCACAATCTTTTAAGATTCAGCCTCTTAGGAGATTTGTAAAAATAAATGTCTAAGATGGAAAAAATTATTTACTATTTATACTGATTTTATTTTTTTGTGCACGTATGTAAATATATTTAAATTGAAATAACATTCCTGTGAGTACTTAATTATCATGCAGAAGTGGTCTAAATTTACTTAAACCCTAGCGAATTTATTTATTTTTTTATTTAGAGTAGCTTATTTACTTACTTTTATTTATAAACGTTGTTATCTTGCACAACCTCAACATTCCGAAATAAGAAACGAAAACCCAGAGACAAATTCGAGAATATTAAGCTATGTGCTACTAAATGGCGTGCAATTTATTTGTTTGAAATAAGGACCGACCGACTGTATTTCGCCATACTTTACGACCAAATTCCTTTAAGCACATCCCGGGAATAAAAACAGGAAACTGTGGACCATAAAGAACTTGAGCGCATAAGAAGCATAACAATCGCTTAACCGAATTCTCGGGGCTTACCCGTACAGTCATCACTTCCTTGTTTGCCCCGGCGCTACTTTTTGCTTTATTCTTTTCATTCGCTTTATTTTCGCCACTGTTTCAGCTTCCTTCGTTTCTGTTTCTCGGTTTCAAGTTTAATTCAAATGGCATTTCAAAATACTTTTTATTTGTTTTTATTGTCTTTTATTTTCGCTCGGGTCCTCGGTACTCTTTTTTCCCTTTGCAACAGTGGCAGAAAATCTGTTGTAATATCGCAAAGATTATATACTTCAATCTTTAATAAAAAAGTTTTCTCCAAGTAATTTAAGATTGCAATATCAACAAGGTAACGTGTTATCATAAATTTACTAACATTATTTTTGTGGTTTTTGGCATTAAAGAACATATGTATTTTGACTTGATATACTTCACTTTTTCTGAACTTATCATAACATTATTTAATTTACAAATATCTCATTTAAAAAATTCATTTATACAACGGCTTGAATGCTTTCCTGGCTGCTTGATCTTCGAATTCCTTCCATTAAATACTATTCTCAAAAGATAACACACAAAAGTACTAAACTTTTCTCCCTGTGTATGCGTCCCACTGTGGGGCAAACGAGATTTGTAGCTATGTGTGAGCGTGGCGTGGCTTTTGCGGCGTCCCTGACGTGGAGCAGTATTCCCACAGTTTTCAATTTTTGGCGATTTGTTGCGGCACTTAACGGTTGTTTGTTAGCTGTCATTGTTGTTGCTGATGAAGCGCCTTTTGTCTTAACTTCCCCACCACCCAAGCCGCTTGCTCTTTCGCCAGCGTTCTACACACCGGTACAGGTCGACCCCCATTAAAGTGAACCCCCAAAAAATAGTTACTACTTTACTAGATATCACATTTCTTTAAAAGGATTAATGAAGAATCTACAAAACATGTAAACATTTTTTTGTATTATTTTCCTTAAAATATTATTTTCAAAATTGTTAAAGTTAGGGAGGCTTCTCTGTACTCCTTGGGCTTGTTGTTTCTGTTGTTTTTTTTTCGCGACTATCCCAAGACGGACGCGCAAATTCTGGGCAAATTGTTTGGGCCAAGTCGCCAGAAGGGGTTGCCCGCATCCGGATCTACATCCATATCCGAATCCAAATCAGAGCCAGAATCCACAACCACATCCGCGGGTCCCCGAAGTTTGCTCGACTCTGGCTTAAATACGAATTTGCCTAAATCAACAAACGGCGAGAAGAGAACATTTTGTGTGTCTCCTTTGCATTTGAAAAGTAAAAAGTAACAAGATTTCATTGTGGCTCATATTGTCTCGTCTATTTGCATATCTTGCGCGTGGCTTTATAGCGCTATATACGGGCGTAAACAGATATATACATGTATATATAGCGACCTTTGCATTATATAGTCAAGCCAAACGAAGGAACGGAGAAGCCAAAAAAAAAACAAAAAAAAAACAGGTTCATTTAGCTCACGTTTTAAACTTTTAGCGATTGATCGAGATTTGTTTAGATGTCTCGGTTTCATTTGCTCAACGTGTGCTAAATGTGGAATTATACACAACATCTGATAAAAAAGAAAACGTTGACAGTTGATATTTGTACAATTGGTTTCAATTTGTACTTAAAACATTTAATATTAAACGTTTTCGCAACATACTTTAACATTTATAAATAAAACCATTGATTTAATGTGTTTACTTAGAAAACTATATTTTTAATTGGTTAGTGTGACGATATCCACTTCAAATAACTCCAAATAAAAAACTTCTATAAATGTCGTAATGTACGATTATCATTCTATTTTCCAATTCCCCAAAAATGTCCGCAAACTCCAAAAAGACAGAAATGCACACAACTAATTCCGAATCCAATTCCAACTCGGCTTTCCCTGGGAGCCAGAAAAATGCTGTTTTGGTCAACTGAAAATCATGAAGTAATCAACTTAAAGCGAAACTTTGTTGGCAAAACTTTTGCGGATACAAAGATACTCACAATCAGATACACAGATACATCGGCCGAAGCTACAAACTTGGCTATAATTGAGCAATTTACACCACAACAAGATGGGGGTGGTGGGTGGTTTTTTTTCGGGGGGACTCTCTTCTTCTTCTCCCTCCTCCTCTTCTTCTTCTCTGTTTTTTTTTTTTTTTTTTTTGGAGAGACTAGAAGGTCAGTTTGGAAGACGAATCGGGGAAAGTTTACCCGGGAGCATCAAACAGTGCTGGAATGTGATAAAAATGCCGAGATTATGTAACCGAAATACTTTTAAATCGAAATCGAGCAATATAAATTCATGGCTTAGACACTTGAAAATGCCAACGATGGGTGGTGATGGGACACTTGGCCCATGGCTAAAAGTGGGCTCCACTTCCCTTCGCCTCCATTTTCTTCGTTTTGCCGGGCGGTTTTTCCCCGCTGGGAAATGGGAAATGAAATATTGGGAACGAACACACGCCGAACGGAAAGGAAAACCAGACAAAAGGGAGCAACAGAGAGCTGAGCTTGCCATTTTTCGGTTTGGCTCTAAACAATATTTTATACTTATATGGCCGAAGATATTTATTAGTTTGTTGTGCGCATTGCTCCCCCAAATTTCGGCTGCACATTCGAACTCCTTTTTACGATGCCGCCGGCATTTACATGCGAAATATCTTAAGTCGCAGCCATTAAAAGTCAAACGAATGCGATAAGATCGGCGACCGTTAGTCGGCACCTTAATACCTTAATAGTATGCCATGTCAATAAATGACAAAAAACCAAAAACTCGAAAAAAAGGAAGTATGAAATCCGGGCGGGCGAACTGTTTCCGAATAAATGCTTACATTTATTAATTACGCATGCGGTTTGACGGACTCTCGAGAATTTAATCTGCCAAATTGACTGTTAACCCTCCGCTGGCCGATGTCATGTTTTTGGCCTTCCACACTTGCAGAAAAAGCCTGATCTGATGAAATACTCGAATAAATGGTGGTGAACCGATCGATCAAAGCCGTTTCGAATCTGCGGTATTTTCCTCAATCGCTTGATCATTAATTCCGACGTAATTTATCAACAGATTCGCTTGATTTAATTTATCAATTAAATGTCATTTATCTGGCGGGAAACCATCATCATTAATTACAAGTAAATGGCAACAAATTTATAATATTTATCAATAGGATTTGTTACTTGGAATTTTGAAATATTATTATATTCAATTGGTATTTGATTTTATTTGGATTTCATAAAGTTTAATTCCTAAAAAACTAACTTTTTTAGCTATTAAACAAGAAATGAAATACGTTGATTTAAATTATATTAAACAATACATAAAATAATTTATGCGTTGTATAAACACTTAATATATTTAATCAAAAATTATGGAGAACACACATATGACAAAATCCGACAGATGAAAACTATCTACCATTCCTATTAGAGAATCAAGGAGCCGCTGTCAAATCAAAGTCATCGCAAACAAAGGCCGAGAAAACGTAAATATTTAACCCAGGGGCGTGATGAATGGTGTCTGGCATTTATCACACACTCGGCCACAAGGGTTAAGCAATTAGGGGCAGATGGTGACGCCCACGCTGAGTGACCGACCGGCCGACCAGCTCACTGGGAGAAAAAAGGCGGGCAGAAAAAAGGGGGAAGAACAGGGCCAAAAAAGATGGGCCAAGTCGATAGCAATGTGGGACGATGACGCGCCTGGTCATTGAACCATGTCGATTCGGATTCGGATTCGGAGTGGGATTGCCATTGCGATTTCGACTGGGTCTGCGAATGGGATGAGTTGCCTTGCATCTGGGGCTGACACACTTCGGTCGACCGACCGACCGACCGGCGCAACAAACAAATAATCAAACAAACAAACGGAGTAAACAGGCCGAAAACAATCCAGTCGCAGGTCCAAGGATCCATCGTCCCGAAAACGCTGTCAAAATCACAAAAACCACCATGACGCTTCACAAAAACCCCGACAAAAGAATCGTTCTCGAGGGCTGCAAATGGGGGGTCAGTGCTGTCTGCTTCTCGGGGGGAGTTCGGCTGCCTTTCGGAGGGTTAACCACAGACCGCAGAAGCAGAACAAACGCTCTGGTAATTATTATGAATGAATTCTCCGCTCCGCCTCTCGTGTTGCAATTCTGCATCCAAATTCCGATAGAACGCTTGTTCGGAAATAACTAAGTTGGGAAATTCACAGGATTGCATGCGGTCAATTACCAAACCATTTTAAAATTTGCAGTTTTAGTTTTTCTGAGCTGAGGAAATGGCAAAATTGTTTATATTTGTTCAATCTCACTTTTCAATTTTGTTTCACTTAATTATCAAATAACATTTTATATTAAGTTAAAAATGTTTGTTAAATTATTAAAAATCGTTGAGATAATTTTAAGAAAAGTAAAAACGATTTTTTGCTTAACTTAATAATAAATAACAAATTAAATGGAATTAGGTCTTTTCCCTTAATTAACCGCCAGATTTAAAGACCTGTGACTGTAGCCAAATCTGGCATCTCTGAGTCTGATAAGGAAGGGAAATGTAGAAGTGTGGGAGTGATTGGAGGATTGGGAGATTGGGGGGTGTGGGGACCACCGAAAGCAGTGCCAAATCATTGGGATTGACGTGGTTTATTATACTTCAGAGCCAGCCTGTTGCGGCCTTTCTTCATTTGCCACTTTCTTGTTCTTGCTCCCCGGATGGACATTTTTCATCTTTAGTGCCGAAAGGCTTCACTCGAGTGGTCTGCGTCTTCTTCGGTGGGTTTGGTGGCTTCGGTGGGTATATAAAAGCCAGCGTTTCGCCCCAATGCCACACAATCAATTACCGAATTCTGAGTGCAACATGTTTCCCTCGAAGAAAAACTATGCAGGCTGGAACGTCAGTTTCCTGGCGGTCTGCCTTTCGATCCTGCTGCTCCTGAATCCCGTGGATGCCCGGTGGACTCGAAGACCGAGACGCACTACCACGCCAAGGAGCACCACCACCGCGAGCTCTGTGCGCCCGGATCGCCACCAGCACGTGCACCACTGGCCACCACTGGTGGCACCACCCGCCCAGTCGCAGCACCAACCACCGCCACAAGTGGCAGTGGTGCAGAAGCCCATCCACTCGGAAACCAGTCCCCGGCTAATTGATAGTTTCGATCAGAGATCCCTCGACGGGCAGTACGAGTTCAGGTGAGGAGTTAAAAATGAAAACAAAATTCAAAAACATTAATCACCAAGGCAAACAAATATTTAATGATATTAAAAAGAACTACAGAAGAGCCAGCTGATAAGCGTATCAAATCACACTAATCAGGATACTAAAACAAAAATATACTTGTTTTGATATTTTAATGGTTGAACTTTTTTTTCTTTGAAAATTAAATTTCCTTGAATTTTTTTGTTTATTAAGGGGTTATATACCTTCTTTGTCGAAAAAAAGAGGAAAGTTCGGATTTTTTTTTAGGTATGTAGCAATTATTTAATTACACGGGTGTTTTAATTTTTTGATAGTACACTTTATTAACTATGTTTGTGCAAAATTTCGTGGAAAAATATCAATTAGTTTTTAAGGGGTGGCTGTTTCCCTTAGAGGCCTTTTTTTTTTAGAGCCTTGCGGTGATAACGCTCCTGGTCGAACCGGTCAACTGAGACCATAAAAGTAAAAAAATTTCATTAGTTTAGAGTAATATCTTGTGCTTGAACGAACGATTTTAAAATTTTTTATTTTTTTATGCATACGGGAACGTTTTATGCTAAAAATGAGCTTTTTGGTCTCTAGAAATTTCACTAAAAAATTAATTTCGGCGAAAAAAAATTTTTGCGTGAAAAGTCGATCGTTCAAGCACAAGACAATTTCATTACGAACATTTAAAAAAAAATTTGAAGTAAATCGGCTTAGTAGTTTTCCGCCAATCGTTATCACCGCAAAGTCATTTTTCAAGAAACACCATTTCGAGATATTCGCGTTTAAAGTTTCAAGTTCCGGTTCTAGCCGCTACGAGGCGCGCGGTTAGGAGCGCTGTAACTTTTTTTCTACTGCTCGAATCTCTATGAAAATTTGGGAAAATATTCTCAAAGAGTTGTTCTTTAAGATAAAACAATAAAAAAATTTTCGATTTTTTGAAAATAAAAAAGGTATATAACCCCTTAAACGTATCCATGATAACTTTTCCCACATAAATATAACTCAATAAAATTGATGCTTAATTTGAGAGCGATTTATGACTTATAGCAGTGTTTCCCAAACTTTTCGGGACCGCGACCCACCTACACAAAAAATTGCAAGATCTATATGACAATTAGTACCCAGCAAAAATCTACCCGCGACCCACCAGTGGGTCGCGACCCACACTTTGGGAAATACTGACTTATAGTATTCTGCTTCAGAATATTCTTATAATCTTTCATAACAATTTATACCGTTCCAGTTTAGTGGAACAAATTATTGGATTATATACCCACTGATACCATTTCATTACAATGAACCAATTATTAAAATATAAAACGTATTACAACCTTTAAATGTACCTCCTTTAGATACCAACTGGACAACGGGAACACCCGGTACGAGCGCGCCTACTGGCTGCCGGTGGGCAAGGAGCTCGTCCTGGCGAAGAAGGGATACTACTCGGTGCCGCTGCCCAACGACAAGTACTCGACGGTGTTCTATACCGCCGACCACCATGGCTACCATGTGGACAGGCGTGAGTTGCGATGAGGTCACTCGACCTTATGTGTCCCCTCCCCCTTTCCACCCACTCTCCTGCCTTTAGCAAACCGCTAATGAATTTATCCAAAACGCAGAGACATTATCTGGGGAGCAACCGCTGTTGCCGCGAAGCCTCGAAGTGCCCGGAGTGGAGACGCAAATGGGATTGGGATTGGGATTGGGATCAGGAACGGGATCGGGAAAGGGGAAAGGAGCAGCAGGAGGAGCAGAAGGAGGAGCATTTGGAGGAACTGAAATGGGCACGGTTTCGGGTGCGGGGACTAAACGAAATTCAATAAGCGACCCGGAGCGTAACGAGCTGCAAGTGGAAGTGGATGAGGATGTGGACGCAAGTGGAGCTGGCACCGAGCTGGTTCCTAATGTAAGTGCCACTGGGAGTTAGCTTTCCTCCGATCCAAAGGGGTTCCCTATATGAATACACAAGCAAAATTATTTAAATGATTTTATTTTATGAAGAGAACGAGAAACCTTTGTATAAAATTAACTTCTCATTCGTCACTTACTTTATCAGGTATTTTTTATATTTCTTTAATTTGTTCTAATATTTTCCTGAAATTATTTTTGATTTTTATAGTTCAAATTATTTAAATTTTATTTAAATTATGCTTGCTCAGTAGCGTATTGCCAGCCCTTTAAAATTATAATACTTATGAAAGAATAATGTTAACATCAATCAATTGCTTCTAAAAACTTATAGAACTTAGATATAGAGATTTGATTTAATTTTCTGCTGTGCATTTTCCCCTTTTCGCTACAGGCTGTAAGCCCAGTCGAAACCGAAACCGAACCATCAACTTTGGCCAACGACATTTTGGCAACTGAAGCACCAGCCGACAGCCACGACAACGACCACGATGATGATGATGATGGTGATGCTGCTGATGACGATGATGAGGAGGACAAGGATGTTGATGATGATGAAGGCGCCTCAAACTGAAAGCCCGAACATTAGAGGACATTTCGGCATATAGAGGAAGGGGAATGGGAAATGGGGAAAGGGGAGAAAGGGGAGAAAGGCGGGCACACACACTTGGCTGCCTCACAGCTCGCTCTACTTGCTGCAAATCAAATTGAAAACAATTGTTGCAGTCACCAGTCCGACACAGTTGAGTTGGCCAGTCGTCACAATATTCCAGGGGAGCAGGAGAAGGAGCAGGAGCCTCTGGAGAAGTCAACTCGACTCCACTTAACTCCATCTTCATCTTCATCTTCATCTTGGAGTTCATGGGGAATGTGTCTCAATTGCTCCCTTGACAGCTCCTTTAGGTCCCTTTCTCCGTTCTCCATTCTCCTGTTTCTGTTTGCCACTTAATATATAATACAATTCTTTTTTTTTAGCAGTCAATAAAAACAAATATGGAATACAAACTTCAAGTGGCCTTTATCAACACCTTTGCTAATGAGTTGAACACTGGGGGGAGTACTTTGTTATAAAAGATAATGTGGTTTTTCTCGTTTAATGGAATCTTATAATTATTCAACCTTTTATAAAGTACCTTCTTACTATTTATTTTAACAAATGGATACATTTCTTTATCCAAAAAAGGAACATAACATTTTTAATAACACCCCTAAACTAAGTGTTAATTACTTTGCTGGCACAATTCGCTCTTCTAAAAGTTTGACCAATTAAATACCTCTATTTTTATATAGTTTTATAACCACATTGTGAACAGACTTTGAGTTGGCTTAATGGTAACCCCAAATTACACGATGTACGGACACCAAACGAGGTCCATTGAAGCAATTCCAAATAGTTTAGAGGTGTCATAGTCAGCCTGAATGGGCCAAAGGACCAAAGACCGAGGAAGACCGTGTGTGTGATGGCCAAAAGATGAGACATTATGAGGCGGCTGACAAAAACACATTCGAGCCTCAATTTGCCAGCTGCCGACTGTCTTTTGTGGGGCCTTTGGATCACTGCCTTTGCTTTTGCTTTTGCCCCGTTCGCTCGTTGCTGGTTTCAAATTAAATGGTTTCTGGAAAAACGCCCCAAATTGGGTGGTGGTGGTGGTGGTGCTAGTGGTTCTGGTGGAGTTCGTGGTGATGGTGATGCGGTGGCATTGGTGAAAAGGCGATGCCAGGAGATTTGTCGGCGGCAAATCGGTGAGCATTCATAAAACTTCTCCATCTCTGGCCCTTCCATTACCAGCAGCATGTCCCTGTAAGACTTGGCTGCCTTTCCTTCGCTTTCTCCTTTCCTTTCTCCGCCCCACCGCACCACGCCCACCGCCAGGTGCACATATGCTCATAAAATGCAGAGGACACTCGCAGAAAATTGCCAACAAAAATTGGGAGTTTCCAAAAACTAACAGTTTAAAAGCTGATGAAATTTCAGAAAGTTTTAAGAAATTTATGAACTTTGTTGACTTGATATTATTATACTTCAAGACTATATTTCCTTTGGCTATATTTCCTTTTGACTTTTGAGTTACTTAAAGATAACACACCTTATTTTAAGATATATATACTTTTATTACTTAACCAAAAATCAATTAAATATATCACTTGGCTTATTATTTTTATGCTTTTATCTTGAAACTCATAAGCTTGTATTCAGTACTCCATAATCGCAGTTGCATATGAAATCTATTATCTTTTAAATATATTATATATTTATTCACATTATTTTTCTTCCTTAAGTTATTATTTCTTTCTGTGTCCAGAGAATCGGGACCAAGTTCTGTGGCAGGATAACTGCAGCTATTCATTTCGCTACTAATCCGATGCGGGCAGGGATTCGGGCTGGTTCTTTTAGCCCTTCCCCCGTTGACTCCCCTCTCCCCCTTTTCCCCTTGACCCTCTCCCCGCTTCGCCCCTTTTTCACGGCCCTTGGCCCGTTTGTATTTACGAGTCAGCCATGCCCACGTAATGAATGGCAGGACCTCCTGCTCCTCGGGCGTGTGAATGAATTGAGTGTGCAAATGGCTGAATGAATGAATGAACCAATGCGAATCCGAATCTGAAACCGAATCCCGAACGCGAATGTGAATGTGCTTGTGAATGTGAATGCGATGGCGAATGCGGGCGGTATGCACATATATACATATGTTTTTCTGGCCTGATTGAGAACGGATGGATCGATTTCCGTGACTCACGCTGCCATCTCTGTCAGAAGGCACAACCTTGGTTGCAATCCCCCTTTGCCACCCCCTTTTCGCCCAGATCCTTTCTTAATTTTATGTGCGTCGCCTGCATCAAAGTTTACACATTTACCACACTCGCGCGAAGCTCCATAAAAGCAGCGCCATTGGGAATGAAGATTGAATGGACTTTACACTGGATTCGCAGCTCATCCCGCCCAGAACTTTCCCAAAACCCCCAGCACATTAGCATTTTTCAGACGGCAACCGTTCGATATGATGGATTACGCAGCCCAAAAAAGTATGTTTCACAATCTCAATGGTACTCAGCATGCACCAACAAAAAAGTCTTTAAAAGGCATATAATGGATTTTAGCAAAAGGATTTTAAGAAAAATAAAAGCATAATATTTCAGTTCCTTTAAACTTAAAAAAAGTCTCAAAATACCAGTATTTGTTAAAGGTACTTTAAATATTTAACAATATTTTGTGGGTTTTTATTTTTGCATTTTCTTATGTTCAATATAATACGCTCCCTTAATTTTGTTTGTGTACGTCGAATGTAACCTTCTCACTTGTGGCTATTTATAAGGTGCCATGGGTCATCGATGACCCTTGTCCCGGATAACTTATGTAAATATTCACACGGGCCCTTAACCCTTAACCCCATCATTTGGCCATTTGCAAAAATTAATTTATCTTCATGAGGACTCTCCAGACAACAACAACAACAACAACGAACAAAAAAATGAAACAAAACGCATTGAAGTCCTCGAGGGACCTGACCCATGTCCAAATCGAATTCGAGTTCGGCCGCTGTATTGTAAATAAATAAATAGGGAAATAAATAAATAAATTGAGTAATGGCCATAATTGACGTGTCGCATGAAAAATTCAAAGCGCCGACACACACAAATTGAATGGGAATGCGACTGCGAGGGCCAGCCATTGAACTTCAGCCCCAAGTCCGTCGAATTGGATCCGGCCAAGTCGCAAAAGCCGGGCCAAAGCGAAGCCAAAACAGTCCACAAACTGCGTGTGTGAGTGACTGCGGCATTTTCCAGATTTATATCGGGGTTATCAAACCTCCGAGCACAATGTGACCACACACACTCACACACACAAGACACACTCACACAACACACACAAAAAATGTCCGAAAATCAAACGGAGCTTGGCTCTAAAAAGCGGATAAGATATTTGTTGGCTCTTAGTAAACCGGGCACATACCATCGCCCGGACAACCGAAGGGAAAGAAGGGGGTATCCCATTGGATAATATCTGAGGTTGCCCGGCAAACAATCTGCACAGGAACATTCCCAGACAGTGGTTTCTAAATCGAATTATTACTTTAAATCTATCTCTGTATTCAAATATTAATAGTTTTTTATATAAGAAAAACCTTTTCAATTTAATAAGCAGACTTGTTTTACATTAGATATCTAGTTTCGTTTACTTAACTAACAAACAATTTTTTTTTTAAATTCAAAAGCTATCTAATTTTCTTAATCACACAACATTTTTCCCACTGTACTCAACCCTCTAACTGAGCCACTGAACTCGCTCCCCACTAATGTATTTATATTTATGCATACAGTTAGGTATTTCGTATTTCAGTTTATCAAAAACAAGACTCCATCTAATCTTGAGATTAATAATGCGGCTCTGCGTAAATTTCAATTGTGACCACAGGCACACACACATGCTGTCCGCAAAAATGTAGATTTAATGGGGGACCTCAGCTGCAATTTCGACCACGGTCAGCAAAGTACAATAGGAATCCAGTGGAGTTGGATCGAAGGGGGTCAAGGGGGGTGAAAAAGGGGGTATGAGAAAGCGGTCTGGAACCTCCCCTTTTTATGGTTACAATTTTATTGACTTGGATTAGACGAGAGTCCGTATTCCGCATCCGTAAGATACACATTAGAGATACAGAGCGACCTGCTGCACGACTGCAACGTTTCGACCAGATTTTCTGCCATATTTTCGGTAATTGAGAATTGTGAATTTCAGCCTGGCTTAGCCGCTTAATAAATTTATGCAAGCCGAGATAGAGAGATACAAATGTATCTGCCGGGGATCTGTGCGAATTCGCTTTTGCGCACTGAGAGAAAATCATTAAGGAGGTGGAGTTGTGTTTAGAAAATATTAAAAACGAAAGACAGAATGTAACTATAAATTTCGAAATTTAAGTGCAAAATTTTTATATATTTCCAAAAATATTATACTGTATTTGGATTCAAAACTTAACTTTGAAATTGTACTTGATTAAATTTATATAATTGTAATGATAGGAAAAAAAATAATTGCTTCTAGGAAAATAAAATAATTATCTAACGAATACAATTTATTTTTTTTAGAGAATATAAAGTATGGGGAGGGTAAAACAACTGACATAATTAGAATCACAAGACAATAACTAACTTTTCTGCATTTAAATGAAATTGTTTTTAATTTTTCGCTTGTGTATCTGACACAAGTTTCGTTGTTAGCGCGCTGCTTTCCCTGCTCCCTATTCCCGGTATTTGTTTATCATTGCTTTTTTTGCACAGGCACTCAGCTTGCGGATTTTATAATTTATGCAAGACACCAAACAAACTCAGCTTAAGTCTTACAAATTGTTTTGAGATGCTCGGCATATCATATAAAAAAAGCACAAGACGAAAGGAAAAGCAGCAGAAATCTGTATCTGAGTTTTGAAGAGCACCGCAAAAGAAAAAAAAAAAAGAAAATAAAAAAAGAAAAAAGGGGAGAGGGCGGGACGTGATTTGATGGGAATTATTCCATTGCCGGCAACAGGCAGCAGCAACTCAAAGCCGCAAAAAAGTGGGCAAAGTGCTCCAGACCAAAAGGTAGCTATCCCCCGGAGTTTCTGCGGGGCTAAGGGGTGCTTTTGGCCAAGAGTGGGAGAGTCCACAACAAGTTGTATCTCGGAGATGTCATGTCACGTAGGCAGGCAGCGCTACATGGACCATTCATACAAATTTTGTTTTATAAGCCACTTTTATACGTTATTTGTGTGTAACTTTGTCCGATTCAGACTGCCTGTGTTTATCTGTAGCTGTATCTTTGCCGGGTTTACTTTTTTCTCCCTCCCTTTTTTTTTTTGGGCATTTCATTGCCGCCGCTGTAGATTCACTTGCGAGCAATTGCCAACACGACGCACAGTGGTTAAGAATTTTTTCTAATAGAATTTAAATTCGTTTGATCCCCTTAAATCAGTATTCAAATTTTGGTGTTGAATTTAATCTAAAAAAAAGATACTTCACTGCAAAAAAAAGGTAGCTCGGCTTCTGTTTATATGTTATATACAAAAATCTTGGCTTTACTAATATTTACACATGTGAATAAAATTTAATTTAATGAAATATATAATAAAGTTATTTGAATAGGCGGCAAATACCAACTTAAATTTAGTTTTGACTTATTTTTTTTTTTCATTAAATTTTTTTATTTAAAATTATATAAAATTAATCATTTTGTCCCACTGTGCCACTGTTTGGTTTCGTGCTGAAAGCTGCAGCACGTCGTCAACAGAATGTCGAGGGTCCCCACGCTGACACCTAAAAAGTAAGAAAAACCGAGCCACCTCCTGCTGCTCCTTGGCCATTGATGTTGCTGCCGTGCCAGCGATGTTGCTGCTGCTCCTTTTGTTGCTGTTGCTGTTGCTGTTACTGCTGATGTTGCTGGGGTAACTGCAACCTGCCCAAAAATAACCAACGCACAGTAATGACAAACAGCGTTGTTGTCTCAACCATTTAGCATCACAGAAAGTCACACTCGAAAAAAAACATTTTAAATCAATTTCTACACCAAACTTTCTTATACAGTTGATAGTATTTACTAATTAAATCCAAATAATTGTTTTTTGCAAAGGTAAAATGACTTCTACAATATTAAATTAAATATTTTGAGCTAATTAAAGCTACTGTTTTTGTTTGTGTACCAGCAACACTGGCAGGAATCGCTTCCTGTCACGACTGCACAGCGCCAACATCTTTCTTCTTCTGCTGCTGATTCTTTTTCGGACTCTGGCTTTGTCATCGACAGACAAAACAAATGACCTTGCTGATGAGGCACCTCAACTACTCCTCCCCCTTTAACTTGCGGCTCCTTTAGCTACACAAAACGAAAACTTTTCATAAGAGGGATTTCTTAAGATGGCATGAGAAATCTCTTTTGAAATTCCAATAATTTTTTTAGTAACCAAATAGTTTTCATCCTAAAATCTTGAGGTACTTTTCTTCTGCTCATGTCATTTACCATAACCATTTTAATCTTCATTCAATAAAACATTCTAAAATATATGAAATAATTTTGGGATAGGTCAACCTTCAATTTTATTTAGAAAATTCTACCTTGTGTTGAATATATCTAACCTAATTTTTATTGATATGTAATTTTTTAACAATTTCTTAAAAAGTATTTTTGCATATCACAATGCTCAATTACTTTTTTAATACTCCCTTAAAGAATTAGACGAATTTTTGTCTGTGTTCCGATGGGCGCAACAAGTTTGGCAAACACTTTTGCACTTTTGTATTTTAATTTCTGGGGCTGAGCGCTGTCTTTTGTTCGCCTGGCCAGAATGTGAAATGAATGCTTTGTCACAGCCAGAGATAAAATACGTTTATAAATAAATCAGTTTGCGCCAGGATGAAGGAAGTGGCTGATGTTGTTGCTTTTGCTTTTGCTTTAGCTGCTGTTTCAGTTTCTGTTGATGCTGATGTTGCTGTTGCCACTTTGGCAAGTTTAGCGCGCCGTTTCGGCCCCAAAATGACAGGGTGACAAACTGACAGAGTGACAGAGTGACAAACTGACAGAGTGACTGCCCGACTGACTTATTCAGTGAGCGAGCAACTGTGACTGCGACTGTCACTGTTCTGTCACGGCGACTTGGCCATAAATCTGCTCCGAGTTCCACGAAAAATTCAAAACAATGAGCTTCAAAAATTTAGTAAATTCATAAATGCTATCTGCCTAAGTGATGAACTTTTTCGAAGGCACTGGCGTGACCTTTGCGGTGTGCGGAAATTAATTAAACGGCGATAACTTCGTGTCGACATATTGACAGCTGCCCCCGGGCAACACTATCCGATAAGTTATGCGGTCCCCGAGTCCCTGGCTCAATTGCACATCATTAACTTTGGCCGACTGACCAAGTGGCCCTTCGATAGTACCCCTTCCCCCTCCTCTGGTCCCCCCCTGTACGCCCCTGGTATCGCCGCATCGGAGATCCCAGATCCCAGGCCTGTGTTCGCTAAATCGCTGCACATTAAATGCAATTAAGAAATGATTGAAATCATAAATTAGCCCTAATTGGCCACAGGACGCTCGCTTCTCGCCTCGTTCGCTCCTTCTTCGAGCTGCGCTCCTGTTTTCCCTCTTTTCTACCCCCTTTACGCTCCTGTTTCGCCCCCTTTTCTGCCCCCGTTCCGCCCCTGGTGTTGCATCTTCTCCGCCACGATGACAGGCGGCACGTACTGGCTGGCCAAATTGCAGGGTGCAAGAACGGTTGAATTTTTAGCCACTGACCAGCACAGTGGGTTAAATGGTGGCTTCCATTGCATCCGATTTCAGCTGAATTCAATAAAAAACTTTTTTAATTACTCTATTCCACTTGAATAGTTAGGTTTTTTATCGTAAAATAATTCATTTTCACAGCTAATTAACTAAACTTCATTAACACTGCTTCCTGCGACATAAATTCATATTAAACAGCGATCAAAACAAGAGTTGAAAAGTAACAAACTTTATTAATATCAAATACTGAAAATATTTAAAAAAAATTATGAATAGCGAAAAAAGCATTTGATTATATATGGTAACTCGGATATTTGTTGATGTTAACATGTAACTATGATATATGTAAGTCCATGTTTAATGTAAGAAATGTTTTTTAGTTGAAAACCTTATAAAGAGAATTCAAAACATGAAGCTTTTTATATTTAAAAGCATAGCTAATTGAATACAGCACGAGAACTATTGAATATCTATTTATGAGATACAATCAGACAAGATCTATTGCTTTGCCCAATAATTAGATAATTTTCATTGCTTGTTATCTAATAAATTACCATTCTGAACAAGCAGCATTAAAGCCGCATTGAAGCGATTCCCTGGCCATCCATCAATTGGCAGCAAATCGATTATGTCCGCTGTATCAGTTTTCGGCTGTGATTGCTTCAATCCACGCCCTTCCGCCCTCTTCCGCCCCCTTTCGCCCCCTACAATTTCCAGCAAATCCCCTTAACCCACTGACAAAATCCCCCCTTAACCCATTGTACGCAATTTGGCGTCCGTGCGAACAGCGCCAAAAGCAAACACACAAAAGAGGCGCAACCAAATTGCCCAGTTAGCAACCTGTCCAGCCCCGCCCCGCCCCCTTTTGGCCCCCTCCCGCCCCCTTTTAGCCCATTGAGCAGGGCACACCGATAAGCATGTGTGTAAGTAGATGAAATTAAGATTTTTTTTGTATGATTAAGCGTCGAGAATTTTTGACGGCAATGGCTCAGAGAGATGTACATGCACTGAGCGAAAATGTGACGTTCTAGGGACTTCTGCATAGGTCGAATAGATCGAAGTCTTAATGTTTATTCAAAATTGCTTACATGAAGAAAAAAATCAAATAAAAATATTTTATGTAGGAATGTTATATGTTTTTAATCTTGTATGAAACAAAAAAAAATGGAGTTGATATTGCAATATCTATATATATCTTAGCTTATTGCTTGAGTATAAGATTCACAATTCAAATAATAAGCTTTACATATTTTAATGAAAAGAATAAACTAAATTTCAATTTTTAAAAACAACATAGACGGGAAACCGGAAAAATATTTAATGATTTTCAAATAATTCTCTGGAGAACAATTTATTAAAACCACTCTTTGTTGGAAATTAAGCCGTAAATTTCAGGATCGCTGATAAATCGGTGCAGGTTAAAACGATTTCTAACAGTCATGTACATATATAATTTATTTAAAATCAACTTCTCAAATTTTTGAATAATATAAATAACGTGTTTCAGAGAGGGCATTCTCGTTTCTAGCTGTGTATTTGGCTCTCAGTCCCCCTTTTTGAATGTCCCGCTCAGACTGAAGATCTTTGCTGCCGCAGTCGAAGTCGACTGCTCTGCCGACGTCGCTGCCCTCGAAGGCGACTATAAAAAGCCAAAGTTACACAGTTTCCGAATTAAACTGTTAACAAAACAACACGCGACAGCACACACGCAACCTCCGAAACCCAAATACCCCACACACACACACACACCCCACCCACAAAATACACATCCGCACAACACATCCGCACATTACATCTGCACATCTCCCCCTCAAAATGGCCACTTCCGGTCTGATCCTGCTCTCCATTTTTCTCCTGAGCGCCATCATCACATCCGCCCAGCAGATCAAAGAAAGTGAAAAGGAGAAGGAATCCGAGAGAAGCGTACGATTATTGGATCGATTCGATAACCGATACCCCGACGGGAGTTACGAGTATCGATTCGAATTGGACGACGGAACGGCGCGTTATGAGCGCGGATACTTCGTCAAGATCAACGAGGTGAAGACCCTAATTGTTGTGGGATACTACTCGTATCGGATGACCGACGGTCGATACATCACCGTATTCTACAACGCCGATCAGTTTGGCTATCGGCAAAATCAGTGTAAGTATAATAAGTTGTTAAGCTGTTTTTAAGTGTCTTAAAAATATACTCGTTTCAAAAATGATGAAGTGCTTAACCTTAAAAAAAAAAGGATTTTTAATTTGCATACTTATAACTTTAATCTAACAAACGTATTTATAACAGCTCTTTAAAGAATTTGATTAATTAATGAATGGACCAAAACAATATACATTTGTAGGAAAAACGCCTTGAAATAAGGCTCTATAGTTTTTTACGATTTTTTGAAGCTTTTAAAATCTATTCCATTTTAATCGCGTATTAACTGAGCAAAAGTTAATAAACTTCATTTGACAAGTTTGTTTATCGTTAGCTAAAAGTCAATGGTGATAGCTCGCAACACGTTTAAAATTCATTCATTTAAATCAAATAAACAACAATATTTAAGGCAATAGATATTGATTGAATTTTCAATTAGCTGTTTTTTAAATGTTTACCTTCAATTAAATCAAAAGCGTTTTTAATTTATTTTTATGAGCAAAAAACTTAAACACATTAATTTGAACGAAACACATTTTTTTGTAATTGAACTCTGCGAAAATGATTTATGTAACGAGCTGCCTATTAAAGCGACTCCTTCGGCGAAAATTAATAAGACAAGCGGCGATTAATCCTAGCCTTAACCCAGAGAAGGTTCCGCCACCTGAATCTGGTTTATATTAAATTATACTGTTGTGTTCCGCCCACAGCGATCACGCCGCAAGTGTATCCCAACCTGCCGCGCTCCATCGAGGTGCCCTTGGCCAGCGAGTTGTCCAGCGCGGAATCGGATACCAATTTGCTTACCCAAACCCAAACCCAATACCAATCCCAATCCCGGTTGGAGTCCCATGGAGTTCCAGCTATAACGACGACTACGCCGCGGGGGGCGGGGACGAATCGTAGGGGCCGCTACTGAGATCCAGTAATTGCACACCATCCTCATTACTTTTATGGCTCCTTCATCGTTTTTTTATTTTATTTTTTTTTTTGTGACCCAACGACGACTACTCGTATTATATTATTATGATTTTTATTTTTTTCCACAGTTTTTTGTGTTCAATGAAATGGAATTAAAAAAGAATAAAAATTTATTAAGGCAAAGCAGCGAAAATTATGAATTTATTATTTAAGATGTTTCGGGTTGTTTGTGGCTCTTTTTGGGTTTTTTTTTTACATCCTCCACGCCCCCCGCCCCTTTCCAGTATTTTTGTTTTGTTTTTTTTGGATTTTTTTCGTGGAGAAGATCTCGCGATTTTTCGAAAGTCGCCGACAATTTGGCAATAAATTTACCACAAAGCGTTTCGGGCAATAAAACATACAAGTGCAGGGCAACTCCCCTCGCCCCTCTGGAGTTTACTTGTATATATGTATATTGGATATCTGGCCATATTTTTGCATTTTTAACACATTTTTGGCGAGGTTCTCGGGCCAAAGGCAATTAAGAAACGAAAACGAAACCAAACCAAAAACAAGAAAATGTCCAGTGCACCGAAAGAAACGAGATGTGATGTATTATCATTTGTTACTCTCTTTCATGACCTTGGTAATTCTGTAACCTGAAAAGCTCAATTAACTATACTAAGAACTTAAGAATAATATATTTTGAATAGCAAATAAAATGTTTCTCATATAAAAAATGCTATTACAATATTCAAACGTTTTTATAAATTTTTCCAAACTTTGATTTTAATTGGATAATTGGATTTTACCGAATAGTTTCTATTCTTTTCGATTCTATTTAAAATAGAAATAAATCGTTTTGCCAGTGCAGAAACGAATTGAAATGAAATGGATCGGAATGAAATGGAATCTTAAATTCTCAACTCTCGGGCGTGTTAAGGTTCATCATAAATTTATAAAGTGCCGACAGGATACCTGGGAAACAAGTTCAACGTTCGGCTGACTTGCAGTATTAATTCAACTGGCACCTTTTTTGTGGGCCGACTATTAAGCCATAAACCATAAAAGGCCATAAAAAATCATCTTGAGATCCGATTGCAAGGGACCAGCTTAATTGCTGGCCCTCGAATATAAAACATGATTTGTGTGCATATAAAATTGAAATTGATTTCAAATCAGATTAACTCAAGTGTTGCATAACAATAAAGGTTCAACAACTAGTTTGCAGGAGATAAAACCAAAAGCTTGCAAACGAAAAGCAGAATATTTTCCTAATGAAAAGAGAAAAGTCTGATTAAAAAGGAAATTGCAGCAGGGAAAGCTCTTCGCCGCAATGAAAGCAATACATGCCTCGCGGTTTGGCAAGCCGACGAAGAGACGGTGGAAAATGATAGGAAAAGCGGGTGGTTTATGGTTAGAAAATGGGAGGCTTAGTGGGCGGTTGGGTGGTTTGGGCAGGTGGTTCGCGGCCTTCGACACTTGACTCAATGGCTTGCCACTGCTCCCGTTGAGGAGCTGAGCTGCAAAGACCTTTCTATAAGGCCAAAAAAATCACTAGACTTGAGAAAATAAAAACGAAAAGAGCAAACTGGGTTGGGTAAGTTAATACTCTGATGCTCTTAGCCAAAAGTGGTTTGGTTCTTTCCTGCATATTCTACAAGTGTTTTTAATTTCATTGCATAGTATGTTTTAAAAAAAGTATGACTTAACATATAACAAGTTCAATAAAAACAAAATCGATCAAATAATGAAAAACTAGAAATACAATAAATATTGTATTATAAATACAAATATTTGGTATTGCTTAAATAAATTCACTTACAAAAAATATATCACATTTATTTGATCTGACTAATCTTAAGTGATCCTATACAAACTCATGTCAGTTTCAAGACAGTTTTTGTTTGTAATTAGAGTCTCGAGCCTTTACCATTAGTTTAGAACTGATTCCTCGGTTCGTGAGTTTTTGTAAGAATAACACAATAAAACCAACTTGTGGAAAGTACTTAACGCGCCTTTGCAGTTAAACACGAACCGGCAATCTCCACCGAAATCCCATCCAGAGCTCCAACTCTCCCATTTCCCACTCTTCCACTTTCCGACTCTTCCAACGGACGGACGGACAAACGGACGGACAAACGGACGGACACATGTAGCTGGGAGTCGTTAAAATTATCAATGAAACTTTACAAATCTTCTCCGGGAAAAGCCGGGAAAATGGATTGAGGCAAGGGGCAATGGAATGGAAAATAAGAAAGGAATAAAGCCAAATACAAGGGAAAAAGTTAAGTTGCAACTTTGTTAACTTTGACGCTTATTAAAGAGTGGAAATAACCAGCAACTAAGTAAAGAAAAAATGCAAAAAAAATAAAAAGGGAAGAAAAAGGAGAGAAGTGTTTTCCAACAATTTTGACTTGATTAAAGACTTCGGGAACCTTAAAAATTTCCCAGAAGCCGTCAGTTCAATGTCAATGCCATATCCCTATCCGCTTTTCCATTAAATTTCCATCACCCGAATCTTAAATGCCTTCGAAACACACAAAAAAAGAAAACTGACCCGGTTTGGCTGAAATATAATCAAATGGCAATAAATATTGCAAATGTGACAAAGCAGGCAAAGTTTAACTAGGACATGGACCTCCTTTTTGGCCCGGTCCCCAGGAAACGGCTACAAAATGTTTGCATGCTGCGGTAACAGCAACAAACAGCGAAAACAGCGACGGAAAAAATGTAAACCAAAGCCAAAGGATGAAGAATAAACAGAGGTGGTAAGGACACCAAAAAAATGAGCAAGGACCAAGGATTAACTTATGCAAAGCAAAGAGGAAAATACCCTAGAACGTAGTTGGAAAATTCAATGGCCTTAGAAAAGTGAAAAGGAGGTAATTTTGGTTGATGTCTTTAAGGATTTCCTGAATAAATTATAAGATAAATTGAAATAATAATAAATGCATGACTAGACAATAAATTAAATAAAATCAACTTTAGAATACAGTAACATGTACAACTCTGGATTATACTTATGTATATTTAGTTGTCACTTGGAATCAATAAAAAGTAAGAATATTAACCCTATTACTTAGTTTCTTTCTTTTAAAGGAGGTTAGTTCACACTATCCAAAGGGTCTTTAGTTTAAAAAACTCGAAAGGAACATCCCCAACTGGTCATGGAATACCATTTTACAGGGTATGCAAAAGGGATAAGCGTGCGGCACATTCGTTGAGTGGAGCGGCAAGAAAGGATGGCGAAAAAAATTAAATATAAAATGCAAAAATGGCTTTTAAGCAGCGAAAGTCGCGTTTAGCGGAGGTCCTGTCCCCACAGGAGGCGCAGGTGAGTAAGTGTGTGTGTGTGTGTGTGGGCAGGATGTGCTAAAAGGACATGGCTGTTGTTCGCCAGTGGACGTTGGACGGTGGGTGGGTGATGTGTGCAGTTCATCAGCGACCGCAGCAAAAGGCACCGAGATCCAGCAAATATACAAAAAGGACACTGGACAGAGGCCACAGGACACTGCTTCCTGCCAGTTAAGCGAGCATCAAAAAAAAAAAAACAACAAAAAAAGCGAAAACGAGAAACAAAAAGGCAAGCGAAACGAGGAAACGAAATTATCATAGGGCTGGCTTAGCGGACTCAAATGAACCAGAAAAGGGTTCATTAAAAACGAAAATATGGCCAACACAAAAGAAGCCGAGCTGTGTAATCAAAAGTATTTCGGTTGTCGGTAAAATAAAGCGAGTATTTTGTTTTGGAAATGCAAATATAATGGGTACATTTGCGAAGTGATGAACATTTTGTGGAGCCAACTAACATGCCACTGCAGCCCTAAGCAAATTATAAAGTGCCAGCAAATTGCATTCCTTCGTGGGCACTCGCCTTCTACTACTCATTTCCACTTTATTCTCTGTTTTCTTTTTTTTTCGTTTTTTTTGCACCTCTAATGAAATTGCCTGGCAGAAGTTGTCCCCAAGATCCTGTCTAACTAACTCCTTTCGCCTCACTCCTCCTTTGTTTATGCAAGCGGAAATTCATTATTTTAGCATGCACGCCGCAAATTATGCTGTGAACTCGTTCACAGCCCTCTTGAAATTCCATTTTTTTTTGTTGGAGCTGCTAAGTGGAATTACCTTATTGGACCGGATTAAATTCATCAGGCATTGCGGCCGAATTTCTGGTCGGGAATTAACATTCCAAATTGAATTGCCGTTCACCAGTTGCTGATGGGATTTGTGGGTGTTTGCGACTGTTTTATTATTTGGATAACCTGTTTTCAATTCAAAAAAGACATTAGCTCATTAAAGATTATGCAACCTAAGGATAAAGAAAAATGTTTTTTATATTACTATATAATTTTATCATCTCTTGTTTTATTTAAAAGTAAATACTTTGTGTTTTGTGATCAATCCAATTGCTAATTAACCAATTAGTGTCCCATTAATCGAACATTCGACCAGTGAAAAAACAATAACACTGAATTGGCGCAGAGTGCACTCATAAATAATTAAAAACCCCTTTAAACTGCTTCTTGTCAACATAATTAAGAGCGGTACTCGTAACACTCGATTCGAACACGTAGTTTTGAGCACATATTAAATGCAGTTTCGCCAATTATTTTCGCTTTAGCCGAAAAAAAATGTTAACCAAAAAAAGCGACACCGGGAGCGAAGAGAATTTCCGGCCGCAAAACAACTGTGAAATTTATTTAAATTTTTAACGAAAATCCACTAAGAGTATTGCCGCTGCCCAGAATATCCAGGTTAGTATTGTATATGCGAACTCGCAATTGTATAAAAACGTTTAAAATAAAAGTGCACACTTTTGCCACGAAAAAAATGAGTAATTTTTTCGCGTTCTCCCTTTGTTGCTCGATGGTTTTAAAATGAACACGAAGCTATTTGTTAATTCAATGAATTTATTTTCTGGCCCAGGAAGGGAATCGTCTGGAACTGAGTCGCCGAGTCCGGAACATCGCCCGATCCATGTTCCATGGCCATCCGCACACATTGATAAACACATTACAAGATATTTTGCATATTTCATGGGTTCGAGCCGAAGAAGGGACCCATACTATATCCATATACATATCATATATATACGTATGGGGGCAGGAAAAATACATACCTACAACATTTATACTTTACATGGCATAAAGTCAGCTCGTGTTAAAATCTGCTTTTATGATTAATTGCCGTGGCGATGGAAAATAAACCACGACAAGGAAGGCGACTTGCTGCATTTCAATTTGTATTTTCGCAGCCATTTTCGCTGCTCGACCGCTTTTCCGGCCTTTCCCATTTCGCACATTCACACTTTTGGGCTTTTATTTCGGTTGCCGCGATGTAATGTTGCATTCGGTTTTGCTGATTTAAGAGTGATCCCTGCGCAATCGCCCATTAATCAGTTGTTGCATTAATTTTTGAAGAGTACTCAACTGCACTAACAAAACTTTGGTAAGTACTTCAGTTTTTGAAATAAATTACCTAGTCAAAATTATGCGAAATGTGAGTTATATGCAGAATATTGAATTAATATTTGAATTTTATTTATTGCAAATTAAAGTTCCCAAATTACAACACAAATTTATTTACCCAACCAACATTTGTGAAATTTGTTCTGCTCAGGTTATAAAAGATTTAAGCCGTTCTAATTGGCAACGAACATTTTGAATACATTTCTTTGTTTGGCTTTCACTCCATTTAAGCCCACTTGGCTCCACGTTTCTTCCGCCTTCAAAAGTTGTTGCTATTTGGGTTCTTCTGGAAATTGGCGCGTTTATCTTGCATTATTTTGTGCACATTCGCTTCGCATAACTTTGGGCCTGTGTTGCAAGATTCGCTTTTTTGCCTCGACATAAAATCGCTTTGCTTGAAGTGCACAGAAAAAATTTATGATGTATCAGAGAAAACACAATTATTTACTATTTTGTTGTATAACGATTGTCTTATTTTTATAGCTGCATTGTACATTTTCTATTTAATTCTGGTAGATTTTTTTAATGTGTTTTATTTGCATACTTGCATATTATTCAAATTTTAGGATTTAATTAAATCATAAACGCGCTCAATATTATCTGAATTGCATTTGGACATTCCGAAAAATAAGTTTTTATTACAGATGAAGAAGTCCCAGTTAATATTATAGCAAAAAGTTATAATTAAAATGATAGACGGTCGAAAGTTATTTTGTATTCAAACCAAATGCGCAATCTTTTGGCCCAATTTAAATGGTTTCTTTCTGTGCTGCCGAGACTTTCGCAACTGCTTCCGCTTCCTTTTCGCCCGGGAAACAGTGAGTGAAATGGAGGGGAAAGGACGAAAGGGGGGAGGTGGGAATGGAGGCGGGATGGAGGACCAAAGGACGAACTGCAACTGGCATTTTTGGAGTTCCCGGCACGCGCTCACTAATTTTATTCCTTAATAAAAACCAAAGGCACACAATGCCTTCCGTGGAAGGAGAAAGTCGGTTGTGCACGTAGCGTCCTTGCAATTGTTCCCCCATCTCACTCTCTTCTTCTTCTTCTCTCTCTCTCTCTCTCTCTTCCTTGTCCTCCCCTCGGGGGAACAGCTATCTCGCTCATTGGCCCCATTTGGGGGGTGCTACCTTTGGCGAGGTTCGCTATCAAACTAGCAAAGTTCATTAAAGTGATAATTACAAAGGCCGTAAAACGAACGACGTACGGCCAAGACGACACGGAACGGATATACGAGCTGGAAACTGAAAAAGAAAACCCGAACCGAAACAAGGAAAAGCTCGACACGAAGAAAATGTGGAAGGGGCTGGATCCCTCAAGCTATTTAACCCCTTGTTGCTCGATTGTAATGTCTTATTTCTGTACTTGAAGGCATGTGCAGTCTCAAAACAAGCAAATAAAGTACGGAAATTAAATTTAAAAAAATTAAAAGTATGTTTTGTTAGATATTTAAAACAATAAAAATGTAATTTGTTAGCAACTTGTTTTGTATTGATTGTTTTATTGGCTTGTTTATTGTATTTGAATAACGTCAAGTGCAATGAAAAAAATATATAAGAATCCACTAAAAACATGCAAACTAGAGAGTTAATTTTTTTATAAACATTTTTAATGGGTGCAGCCGTGTAAGGGTTAAGGACACACAAAGTGTGTAAACATTTTTCCGCACTCTTCAACACCAGATAGTTTCTCAATTTACAGCAAATGAGGCGAAACAGAATGGAATGGAAAATTCGTGTTCGATTTAATAGCTTTTAAATACATATTCGGAGTGAAAGTCCTTGGAGTCGCAGCGACAGGCCTATAAAGTAGGGTCGAACAGGACTTTAAATAATCATAAGCCAGGGCCCAAAAAACTTTGCACAGCTGCCAACAGGCTGACGCCGAAGAACCAAGAAAACTTTGCGGCATAAACAACAGACAGAAAGCTGAGAAAATTCGAGGGTTTATGGGCCGGGGAAAATCGAGGGCGGGGAGGCGGAGGGGGAAAGGCGGGAAAAGCCATAAAGTACAATTGAAAGAAACAACAAAGACATTGGTGGCAGCAGCAGCAGCAGCAGCATCGCAAGACAAAAAGTAAATAAATAAATAAATACATATGCAAAAATGCCAAAAGGATTGGGCAAAAGTGAAATACTTTGATATGCATCTAAATGGCATCATCAGCATCATCCTTAACCCCCTACTGCCCAGAGGTTTTCAACTGGAACAACAACAGGCACAAAGAGAATCGTAAGTCACTTCTAAATTGGTGTTGTTAAAAAAAAAACATTACTTCTAAGTGTCACAAAAGCGTGAAAAACTTAACAGAAAATATTAATTTTAATATATTTTATCATAGAATTAAATTTTACAATAAATTAAAATAATTTAACGTTAAAATATAATAAAATATTTTATTCATTTAAGTAATTGTTCTCTAAGCCTTCACTCACTAAAGACAGATTAATGCCTCACGAATTCTAAAACTCAATATGCAATTTTCTCAGTGCAAGAAAAACCAAAGATGGCAATCAGCAACACTGCGATTGAGAAGGCAACTGCAAATAGAATAGAAATCAGGAAAAACAACAGGAACATTCCATGTTTGCAAAATCTGGTGGAATACAAATAGTGGAAAAACAAAACTCAGACAGATCCGACCTGCCAGAAGTGGCAGAACCAGCAAAAAATATATATATAACACCAAAAGCGACAAACAAACAAAAAATACTGCAAATCATTTTGTGGACATTAAATTTTATTTCTCCATTCGTTTGCCGCAGACAAAGTGAACATTGGGTTGAAAAAAGGTTTCAAGGATATCAAAATAGGAAGGAGTACAATATTTGAATTAAAAATGTAATATCTGAACTTATGCAATCAACAAATATCCGCAAGGTTTAACTTTGGCTAAGTTTAAACTTTAAATGAAATAAAGCAATTAAAAATAGACAAAAATGTTTTTCCCTTTTTTCCATAAATGCGATTTCCCATTAAAACAATGTAAATAAGCATAGCAATTTATGTTTGTTTAAAGAGAAACAAATCATTATATTATTTCCACAATTTATTAATATCTTAATCAGCTAATATAAGTTACAAAAAAAAATACAAAAAATATTTATTTGCTTGGGGCCACTGTGAAAATCCGCCATGTGAGAATTCCACTCATCCTCTTTCACATATTGGTCGCTTTTGTGGCTTTGTAATGCAAATGTTTGGGCGACCCAGGCTGATGATAGTGGAGCTCAACTGGGGGAGGTTGGCGGGGAAGAAAATAGAATATACAATCACTATTGATGCCAAACTCGTGACAGAAAACTCACTTCTATAGACATTGTATCCCCGCTCATCGGCAATGTAGTACTGCGTCTGGATTTGGTTTTTGGGCCCGGGAATGGGAACTGAGTTATAGCCCTCCTGCACGTTGACCTCCTGGTCGCCCACCTTCTTGGTGTAAATCTTCTTGTAGTTCACCAGGCCGTTGCTCATCACCAATCTGGGGGATATAGGGAAATTTATCACACACTTATTTAACTTTTGTATTGCAATTTTGAACCCATTTAGGATTACCCAATTGCTTGATGATATCAAAGAATTCAAGAAGTTATGAAATTAATAAAAAATATTGTATACACCATACAATATATTGTAGATATATGTATACTTATTCTTCTTATTTTTTTTAGAATATTTATATATATATATATACGTTATAAGTAAGTTATTTTGAATATTATATAAGTTATTTATGAATATTCGGTAACATTTTCAGTTTCACTCAAAAAATTAGTGTAAGGTTTTTTAATCTAAATTTGTTGTACTTTTTATAAGTTAAAAATAACCACAGAAATTATTGTTTTCACCAAAATAATTGTGTCAGTGTATATAGAAGGCAAACTCCCCGGAATTAGTTGCAGTCTTAAGGGTCAAGAGTGTGATTTACCTATATAGTTAGTGACCTATATTTTAATTAACTCATTATGTTCGACTCACTTGTACTCCTCGGTGCCGTTGGGATGTATCACGTGATAGTTTTGCACAACATAAATGGGCGTTGGAGTGGGCGTGCCCGTTGGATGATAGATGGTTACCGGCCGACCAGTGGTGGTGCTGGTGGTAGTGGTGGTTGTAGTGGGTTCAGTAGGTGGTGAGGTAGGTGGTGGTGCCTCCTCGTCGAAGAAATAATCAAGATTCTCCTCTTCAAAGTCCATTTGCGGAAATACGACCAATTGATCTTCGTACAATGGCCATATTTGCTCAATAGGTGTCCCAATTTGTGTGGGTTTCGGTTTGGCGTTAGTTGGCCTGTGGTTTCCAAAGCCACTTGTTGTTGTTGTTGCTGGAGTTTTCGTTGTTGTGGTGATGGTGGCCAGTGGCGGGCCAAAGTCATCACCATCCTCGATGTCAGAGGGCCAAACAACCAATTGTAATTCATAGATGGGCTGGCTGTCCGGGGACTTTAAGTGTCGCTGCCAGTCTGGAATTTGCAGCGGGTTCGCTTCGGGCTTATTACTGGATGCCACGCCCTCCTCTTCCATGGAGTAGGAGCGGGAGGAGGAGGGGGATGCCGCCCCCTCATTGTGGCAGCCTAACGAGTCCATTGTCGCCGCATCGAAAGTCAATTTGCAGTCGATGCGTTGGCCATCCACTTGAGCGGAGTTCTCCGGTTCAAGCTGCTCCGTATACGGGTTAGGAATCGTGGTGGTGGTGGTGGTGCTGTCTGGATTCGGAGTTAGATTCGGAGTGGGATTCGGTTGCAGATCCTCAACAATCCGGGCCTGCAGCAGCGGGATTAGTGTCGCCGCCAGCAGCAACAGCAGTTGCATCAGGGGCACCAACTCCAACCGGATTCTGTTTGATGACATGTCTGCGGGCGATTCGCCTTGCCTTCTGATTCTGATTCGGATTCGGATTCTACTTTTGCCTTTGCCTTTGCCTTTGCCTTGGCTGCAGCTTTTGCTGCTGCTTTTGCCTTTGCCCGCTGCCAAAAGAGCCGGACTTGTATTTATACGAATCAAAGGCCTTTTGACGGTGCCACTGAATTCAAGTTGACTGAATCACCAGCGCCATCATCATCATCGCCCCGTCGTCGTCGGTTGCACTTTAGACATCGGGAATATACTATATATATATATACAATACCGTTATGCGGCAGAACGGCAAATAAGCCGGCTTTGAGTCGGCCACTTTGGAAAAGGGCCAACAACAAACACTGGCAGCGGAATTAACCCTTTGGGGAATGCATTTTGGCCTTAAGTGCAGCGTATTAATTTACCCTGCTTAATAGTTGAACGACTTGAAAGTGCTAATTTTAGACATCGAAATTGCACAAACAGTGTAATACTAGATTTCGTTTAAATAGCTCTACAATTTAAAGGTAATTGGTTAAGCGCCTATTTTAAGTGCAAATTTTAGGCATTTAAATTACACATACGCAGCGTTGTCATTTATTTGATTAACATTAAATAGTTGGATTTTTTTCGATTGTCTGCTTTCCAACCTTAAAGAGTTCATTTCAAGCATCAAACTAGCACAACTAGTCACGATTGCAACGTTCTCTTTTATCCAAATTACACTGGTTGCAAAGTTGCACATATCAAATTGCTCATACGCAGCGTTGACTTCTGTTTAACAAAGTTTCAAACGTACTTATTAAATCGGTTTCACCAGCCAAGGGTTAAGTTGCGTCTTTTAGTAACCAAAGATGATGAAAATCGGAGGGGGAGGGATAACCAGCTTTAAGATTGTTAAAACCTCAATAATCGCCTCACTTTGTGCAAATCGTAAATGTGCTAATGGATATTTGTTTCGGGACTCATTTCGGGACTCAGTCGAGGTGATCGAAGTTCATTGGGTTAATTACTGAGCATACTCAGTTTTTTGTATACTTTATTTAAGCGTAATCTTGTGTCTCTTCAGGGGATTCGCTTCGGCTGCCCTTTCATTTTAGTGTCCAATGTCCTTGGGTATTTTGTGCATTTTCCCCCGTCATTTTATTTTTTTTTCTTTTCGCAATTTTAACAGTGTCATTTATAATGAGATTTTCCCTGGCTGGTGCATCTGCTGTTGATGACTTGGCTCTCTTGTTATTTCGCCGACTTTCTTCGTTTATTCGCCGGCGATTCTTCATCTTCTTTTGGGTTCTTTGTCATGTGCCATAAAAGATATTTCACGTTGTAAAGTGATATTTTTAAAGCTCGCTTTTCGGCAAACCGGTCTTGATTTTGAATTATTTTGGCTTCCTGTTTCGATCACATTCTGGTTTATTTTCGTTACGTCGATGTTTTTTCGACATTTTCAAGGGCAGGCGGCTTTTCAAATTTAATTCAATTTCTATTTAATTGAACCAAAGGCGTCTTTAATGTGCAATTTGTCAAAAACTTTTTGATTTATGAGTCCACAACAGCAAGCGGCTGTCAAGCAACTTGTTCACTTCACTCCACATCTTTCTTATTTTCCTTTTCTTCCCTCTAGGAAAATTGAAAATCTTACACAGAGATTTCCATGCAAACGAAACATTTCCCATTCTCCCCGCCTTTTCATATTTTCAGCTTCCTTTTTTCATCACTTTTTTGTTGGCACAAATTTAATTTGATTTGATTTCGGCCGCTGGACATGGCAAGCCCCAGGCAATTTGTCAAAAAAAAAACCGTATACCTACTATATGTTTATGCAAGCAATAGGGATCTTCCGTTTTCAAAAGAATATTTTGTTGACAAAATATTTCCAGTTATTATTTGTAGTTTTGAGAAGCATTTAATCCATTTAATTCAATTGCTACGAATTGTATTTATTGAATGTTTACAAATAAAATACAGGGTATGCCAATGGCCATTTATTCCATGAATACTAATTCCAAGAAACAAGCCTAAAAAGCTTAGGAATCCATTGTGGGAAGAACTAATTCTGGGAGCATTTGAAAACAATAGGGCAAATTGTTCAAGTAAGGTAAGCCTAATGGTTTGTATTTGCTTGGCAAATGAATACCACAGATTTGCAGAAGGCGACGGTATTTCATGTTAGTCAATAATTGTGTGTATATATGCAAGTGTGCATAAATATCGAATTTAAGTCCCATAAACGTTCAAACGAAGATGCTGCAATTTTGGCAGGAGTATATAATTAAGTGTATGGCCGTTATTAAATGCCGACCCACATTTTGTGTGAGCAAATCCAGTTTTTTTAATAAGTCCTTATTATTCTTGGCAATCTGGTTCCGTTTAGTGCACCGGCAACATCATTAAGTGTCTGGATATAGGAGCCAGAAAATCATATATAAGAAGTGCTCGATATGTTCACCGCATCAAAGCGAATCAAAGCAAAGTCTGATAAAGAACAAAAGTACAGAAAACTTTAAGGAATTTAACTTGGAATTACTCAAAATTAACTGTGGAAATCATGGCCAACAAACTGAGTTTTATTGTTTTTATGGCTGTAATAGCTGTAGCAGTTGCCTTGACCACAACTATTGCACCGACCAGAGAACCCATGAGCAAAACCACTGAGAAACCCATGAAAACCGAAGAACGTCGTGACAAACGTCAGTTGGTAAGTAAAGTTACCCAATAGATTAAAGTCAAATGTTGCAAATTGATAGCATAACAGCGGAATATATTTCAAGAATTTCTTAGAATTGGTTAAATGCAATTTATAAGTATCACTTTTAAAATAAATCTTAATTTTTAAATAATTCTTCCTTACACAAAATACTATTTCGTTAAACGTAGTATTATTTATGTTATTGTTTAGCTTTTAATTATTTGAAACAATAATAAATTGAATTATTTTTTCATAACTTCTATGCATTAAAGTGGAGCCAATAAGTTGTATTATTTAGCATCATATGTTTTCAATTTTTTTTCCATTTACATTATTGTATTACACTAAAATTTATTACACAAAAAAAGTCTCTGTTGTTTTTCCCAATACTTTTTGTTCTGTGAAGAATTGCAACTGCTTTTTGACTACACAAGTGCTTACCCCTTTTAATTTTCAAATTGAATTTCCAGCAGGCCGTCAACGGAGGACAGAGCAGCATGGCTGGGTCCAGTGGCAACTTTCCCATCTTCTTCGACGGAGTGAACGTGAACCCCCCGCTGCAGCCCCTGCCACCTCTGCAGCCCCTCCAACCCCTTCAGCCCATCACAGTGGTGACGCCCGTGGCCTCCAACTCGAATGCCCAAAGTCAGCAGCCGCAGTCGGGTTGGCTGCCCAATTTCGGCCAGAATCTGCCGATAATCGGAACCTGGGTGGGTGGCCTGCCCAATCTGATCAGTGGTTTGGGACTGGGTTCGCTAAACGGCGGTTTCGGCACTCTGGGCGGCTTGAATCTGGGAAATCTGGGCCTGGGCACAGTGACTCCTGTGGTCCAGAACCCAGCTCCAATCGTTCCAATCGGATCCTCGCCGAATCCCCAGACAACTTGTCCACTCACCCAGAAGCTCAGTTGTCGCTGTGAACCACTCATTCAGTTGCCAGGGATAAAACCCAGTGTGAGTCCTTTGAGATCGCAACTGGTGCAAATCCTGCGGCAGAATGCTCGCAAGAACGACGATGGATCGCAGGAGATGCGAGTGATCCTGAGCAGTGGTCATGTTATTTACCAACGCACCTCCAGGGATCTCGGCCAGAATGGCTACTTGGCCATGAGGATCCAGTCGGGCAGGTACTTCAACATCTACTTCAGTGTCAACGATAAGGAGTATACAGTAAGGGCGGATGTGAAAGATAAGCCTCCCACTTCCGATTTCGACGACGAACTGAGCGGTCAGATTTAGATTAATAGTGGAAATGGTTTGGATAGTAGTTTAGCATTTTTGTTCTATTTATGTGGCCAGATTTTATATCAAATTTTAAATCATAAATGTTGCAAGCATAATTCACAGTAGAAATGGTTTGGATATCATTGAGTTGTGTTTTAAAAAATGTTGCAAATATTTATAATAACTACCCATATTTTGTATAACAGCTGATAAGAAATTTAAAACCATTTACGAAGCACTTAAGATACAAAAACTCTCGAGGTTACCGCTTTCCAACTAATAACAAATAAAACAGTAAAAGCTTCTAAGTAATTACATTCACGAAAGAAATAACAAAAACAAAATGTAGAAAGTCTTAGGGGGTTTCGAATCAACAAACAAAACTCAATATGGCCACATATGCTAGGCGAACCCAAGCTCAACCCAAACTCCTAAACTTTTCCATAAACTGTATTAATCCTTTTTTTATTTGTAAACTTTATTTTTTTTTTTTTTTTGTTGAACTACTACAACTACAAACTAGCTGGGAAAGAAATAAACAACAATGAAACACATTTCCGGCGATTGCTCCATTGGGACTAAAAGTTGAGTTGCAAAGACAAATATTCATGGGGGTGCGGCAATAAACTTGTCTTTTATGTTGTTCAAGGGTTAACAAGTGGGTGGGGAAGGGGGAGGAGTTCCTAGGCCAACGAGTCTCCAGTCAAAGTGAGGAGTCCTCCTAATTACAAGAGACTCGCAAAAGAGCGTTAAATGTGTCTGAAATGCAGAGAAAAATAATTAAACGAAAATTAATTTGGTAAAAGAAATTGGAAAAAAATATACTCTTACATGAAAATTTGCATAGATTAATATATTATACAAGACAAAATGTAATATGCTTAAAGGTTCATAAAACCCTTTTTTAAATTGGGATGCAAAGAAATTAAAAAAAGGACAGAGGAACAAATTGTTTAAGAATCGTAAAATGTTTCGTAATAATTAAAGAGTCATCGCTTAATTTGTTTTTATTTTTCCTTCACACCATTTGCAAAGCGGTCTCATTTTCTTTCCATAAGAACGCCACCAGTTGAGTCTTAGCCTTGGAAAAGCGTGGAAAAGCCAAGAAGGGGCAGCAAACAAACAAAGAGCTCAATGGCCAAATGGAAATCAAGCTGTAAAATGCCATATCCCCAATCCGATTTTGCACTCCTTCGGTTCTCTGCACTCCACACTCCACACTCCACTTTTCACTTGCCACTTGCCACTTTCCACTCGCCATTTCCCACTTTTCCCCACTTGCCTTTCAAGTTGAACCGAGAACCGAGAAGTTTTCGCAATGAGCCGGGAAATGGAAACTGGCAGAATGTGCCCGGAAAAGCGGAGTCGACTGAATGCAGGCCGGTGGGGCAATGTATAATTAAAAGTTCCCTTTTGTGCCGAGATTGGTGGATCCTCCAAAAGGCAGCGCCGTTTTGATCCTTCCAAGTGGCGAAAAGTAAGTATTACATTATACCACTTTGCGAATTCTCAATGACAGGAAAATTAATTTACACAGTGGCTGAAAAGAAACTCTCCGATTAATATAGCCCTTTAATATTCACATTTCTATAGGAAATGCCGAAAAATAATTGAAATAAAAAGGTAACACACCAAAGTAATATTTCAAGTGTTTTAAAAATGTTTCATTTGTATCATTTTTCCATTTGCATGCACAAAAAGCCTCGTTCGTTTTAATTAACCATTTGCGTTTTCTCTGGAAAAGATTAATACATATAAAAACAATTGAAATGGTTGTTTTTTAAAGCAAGATTAAAGATTATTTGCCCTATGAATTTATAAAGTAAATATATCACGATTCCCATGCGAAGCAATTGAAAAGGATTTAAATGGCAACAAAATGTTGCGTGCAACTAAATTGCGCGAGAGAAATATTTTTATTTCACACTCAACATTATTTATTTAAAGTATTAAAAAGCACTTTGATAGATTTTGTAAAATGTCGCTGAGTACTTTCAGAGCTGCTCACTTAAATCATACGCTGATTGCAAATATTTCAATGAATTTCGCCAGCATTTTAAAATTATTTGATTTTTGATTATGGGACACGAATCGGATTCGAATTGATTCCGCTTTCGATTCTGTCGCCTAACCGCTTCCTGCAACTAATTCAACCAGCTGCCGGATAAAAGTTGCTCCAAAAGGGGGTGTAGAGAGGGCGTGGGGGCGTGGCATGGTAATGAAACCACATTCCTCGGTGCCCACGAAACTTTTTCACAAATCATAAATGCTCTCGGAAAACACACACACACATTTAGCATTTAAAACTCCCCCTCTTTTTCGCCTCGGTTAACCCCTCTTTGGGTTCCCCTATTCGAAACCCCCTTTACACCCCATTTTAACCGCCGCCTCATTGGTTATGCCAATTGCAAAAAGTCCCGGGCAACAATTGAAATTGCCGGACTCGTTGATGAGACTTTAAGCTGTGGTTGCAGTTGAAACCCCGCCCCTAATTACGTATTACCAGATGACTGCCATTAGGTGCGCCCCTCCAAGCCCCCCTCTACGCCCCTGGTTGCATTCCCCCTCTTTTTAAAGCCGGGGGAGAATCTTAAAGTGCCCGTTCGACGCACCATTAAATCCACTAAATGCTCCACTTTTTGGTTGGCTTTGGTTTGTTGATGTTTCTAGCTTTCTGTGTTGCGAGTCGAAGTGAGGCGGGGGTCGGTGGGCTTTCAGGGGGTTCGGGGGGGTCAGGAGGTCAGGTGGATGGACTAGAGGACTGTATCCATTAGCTGATACGGCAGAGGAACAGTAGAACGAACCCTAAACCCAAAGCCAGACTTGTCGCAACCGCAGACCAAACGTGAGTGACCGGCGACGACTAGACAGTGCGAGTGTGTTTGCGAGTGTGTGTACGAGTATGTGTGTGTGTGTGTGTGTGTCTGACCCCCGGCCACGCCCCCAGTAACCAGGATGCACCTAGCCGAAGGCCCCTTCCGCAACCCGCCCCTGGCCATCCTCGAAAAACTGCCGCATTGTGTGGCCAAAAAGCGAAACCGCGACTGCAACTGGCCGAGCAATAGAAAAGACACTGAGAGAAACTAGAGAAACAACCAAGGCTGAAGACAATTAAAAAAATGTTGTTTTAAAATATAGCGGTTGTATAAAGGTAAACTAAAACAAAATAAAAACCCATAATCATAATCATAAATTATTCAAGCTTAAAATGTAAATTACTAAGAACACGTTTTAGTAGAATCGAATGGAATACCATAAAAAAAAGGAAAAAAACTATTATACCTAAAAAAATAACGGATATAGTAGTTGGGACTCAAAAAATAAATATTTTTTTTTTTTTTTAATTGTAAGTCTTCCTAACAAGTGAATAAAATATACATACTTATACACAACATTCACTTGTTATTAAAATTCGTCCATAAAAAAACATTATGTGAAACTCGAATAAAAAATTAAATTAAATTAAAAAAAATTAAATAAAGTGCTGAGTGCTTAGTTCTTCTACAAATATATTTATACAAAAACATGTTCAACTTTTTCAAAAAAGTTTCAAGAAATAACTCCTTTTGTTTTGTAAAATGTAAGAATATTTTTGCAGTGCAGAGAGAACAAGCAAAGGACCAGAAAAGGAGCAGCACAAAGAAGGGCCCATGGAGAACGGATGCGAATCGAGAGCGGAAAGCGTGACAGATGGATGGGCTGGGGCAGCAAGGGGTTAATGAAAGAGGGAATTTAGTTCGAGGCACTGTGGAAATGATTAAAATGTATTAGGCAAAATTAAGTTGGTTACACAGAGGAAAGGGGAAGAAGATAAAGGGGCAAAAATGGGATATAAATGGGGAGAAAAGACAACGAGTAATGGAGCAGGTAGAGCATGACAAATTCATTAGACTCCCTTTAATAAAAATCATTATCCGCACTCACAATTAAATTGTTCAGTAATTACCTACTTCTAAGCCCTGAAAACAATGTGAAGAGTTCTAGAAGTTGATTAAATCGAATTTAACCAAAAATATGTTCGCCCATCTGCTGTTTGCTCATCTGATATTAAACCAAGTTTGAGTTATCTCAGGTTAATTGGACCGCTCGAAGGGGAAAAAAACACTGAGGGAAAATCGAGGGAATGCCGGGGAAATGCAGAAGTTCGCTGAAAGCTTAATAATCCCCTTCGCTTTACCCCTTCGGGAATTTGCAAGCCACTGTAAACAGGTGCAAACGCTGCACAGCAATTTCACCGGCCCCCTGCTAACTTTTTCGCCCAGCTTTCCGCGCTTTTCCCTCGTTCAAATAGTTGTAAATGGGCGAAAGAGCAAACAAAAACTGAGATCCACTTGAAAGGAAAAACAAGAAAAATCATTGAAAGGCAACAATGCTGGGCAAACAAAAGGAATACGAAATGCAAAGCCAGCGACCACTAAATAAGTGGAGTGGACGGGTGCGTGGACGAGTGGAAATGCGGAAAAGCGGATTCAAGAAAGAAAGCCCAGCGCGGGGAACAAATAAAGGATCAAGCAATTCGCTGCAATCATTCAAATGGCGAATATTGGGTGGCTAAGGGTGCATATATGGGGATATAGTCCGCTCAAAAAGGTGCCAGTGCAAAAATAAAACTATGGAACAGCGCACAATTGCAAAGTAAAGTTGCATTGAAAAGGTTTTCACTACAAATTAAGACAATTATAGAAACAAATATATACAAATATTCTTTGCAAAATAATTAATTATATTATTTATAAAACTTTTAATTTGTTCTAACAATAATTGTTATAAGCTGGACATGTTTATTACCATTTTTTGTTAATTGCTTAGCATTCTTGTGTACAAACTAGTATTACATGTTATAAACAGCAGTTCATTCAGTTATTTAGCATACCAATTTTTGCAAAATTGCCCGCGTCCATCTTATCAGTGCGCCCTGTACTTGAACCCCTGTACTTCCCTGTTTGCCAATTGTAAAACAATTTTTCCTCGAATTGGCCAATCGGTGAGAAATCGAACTGGAGCTCTGCGAGATTTGAGTCATCAAAGGTTGGGTTCCTTATCAGGTAGGGCATGTGTGTGTTAACCGGTGATAACCACTATCGACGACATCGGGCGGAAACACGGAAAGACCATTAGATCGACCAGCTCTTCATTTTCAACTTGGAGCTGCTGCAGAACGGACAAGAAAATGACAGGTAATCAAGTCGCACTTCAAGATGCCATAACACAAACTATAAGATAACTAAGGGTAGCTTTTTTTCTTACTAAATTGTTATAACTATAACTATAACAAAACAAATACTGGACAGACATTTACAAAAATAAAAACTGTCATTTGTTTACATAAAATAAATTTAAAAGAAATTTTTTAAATGCTTTAGATATTTCTATTAAATTTATTTTATTTATTTGAATTTTTGACCACCACAAAAAGTGTTTACCTTTTGTTTAAAAGAAATGAATGGCTCACCAATAAATTATGTGAAATGAAATGCTGTTAACCACAAATGTGAAAATCTACTTTTAAACAATTTCATATTAAACTGCGACTTCCAAACATATGTAAATTCCACAAATTTGAATTATAATTAATTTAATTTCGGTTAAATAAATAACAGTAACATATTGTTTAAGCTTTTATTACTAAATAATATTTCCATAAATTCAATTTTGGTTACTTTGAGGTGCAAAAATACCATTGTGGCTTGTGGCTTGTGGCTATTGCTTCCATTGATTTTCCCCCCAAATGTTGCAGACCACAGGTGGATGCACTTCAGCAACGGCACCGTGCCGCCGAACGCGGTGGTGGCTGGCCACGATTCGGATGGGGACACCATCTACGTGGGCCGCGCCTTCTTCCACAACGACATGCTGCCGGCGAAGGTGATCCCGAACAAGGGCAAGGCGTACGTGGCCTACGCCCGCGAGGAGCACGAGCTGGAGAACTACGAGGTGCTCTCCGGCTACAACTACGAGTGGCTGCCGGCGGAGAACGGGGAGGTGCCGCCGGGCGCAGTGAAGGTGGGCCGCAATGTGGACGGGGAGTACCTCTACGCGGGCAGGGGCTACCATGCCGGCAGTCTCACCATGGGAAAGGTGCATCCCTCGCACGGCTGCCTCTACATCCCCTACGACTCCGACGAGGTGAAGATCTTCGCATACGAAGTGCTTAGCCAGCCGGAGCGCTGGGTGGACACCACGGCCACGAACATTCCGGATGGAGCTCTGGTGGCTGGACACGATTCCAATGGGGACACCATCTATGTTGGCAGGGTGTTCCGCAATGGAGATCTCCTGCCTGCGAAGGTGGTTCCCGCCAAGGGAAAGGCCTATGCCGCCTATGCCCAAGCGGAGCACGAGTTGACCGACGTCCAGGTGCTCACCGGCTCCGGATTCCGCTGGGTGCCCGCCTCCCATGGAAACGTGGCGCCCGGAGCCCTCTCCTCCGGTCCGAATGTGGATGGGGAGCCCCTCTACGTGGGCAGGGCCATCTACTGCGACAGCTTGAGCGTGGGCAAGATCCATCCCTCCCACGGCTGCATCTACATCCCCTTCGGCGGCGAGGAAGTGCGCCTCGAGAACTACGAGGTCCTGGTGAGGATCTAAACCCTGATGATCTGTAGCGTTTTTTTTTAATAAACCTTTTTTTATACTCGAGAATAAGTGTTTTTAGTTTGAGTACTTGAATTACCATTTTTCTTCAATGACAGCTTAAAAAGTTCAAAAGTTCTAGTGAAAATTTAAATGTTTTTGCTGATGCCAAATGAATAATGCCAAAAGCAGACAAGTTTTTTATATAGGAACATATATATGAGAAAATTTGCACATGAGAAAATGTTCTTCCTTCGAAAAAAAAAATTACTTTAATATAAATATCACATTTTTGTATGGATATCTATTCTTGTCTGTATCTTTTGCAAACAAGTTCAAAGTTGACCTGTTTTGCTCTTGTTGAAACTATTCTCTTTACTGAGTTCTTATCTCTTATCAGTCTGTTAAATCTACCTTTGAGAAAATCCCCATTCATGGAGAATTTCGCCAATGCGAACTCCCAGTGCATTTCATGGAAATTGTAGACTATCGCCGACGTGGGAATAAGTACATTACGTGTTTATTTTTGTTTTATTTGTGTTATCATATCGGTTATCAATTAGCAACAATCGGTTGATTCCTGGCCATAAATTTCCGTCGAGTTATAGCATAATTAAGCACTGGCACTCACAAACACTCAAACTGAAACAAATCGTAAAACTCGGTCAGATATCGCAGTTATCAGAAGAAATATGAATTTCATTCAGCGATTAACAGGCAATTTTGAATAGCTGTGGCGCCATCTATAGACAAGGAGAAAGGAGGAAGTTTTTTAGGAAAATGTATAAGCGCCACCTATCTGTTGGTGCATCGGCTATGTAAAGATGGTACACCCGCTACATTAGGATCGTGTGCTTGCTAACTTGCTACTTTAGATCGCAGTGTATATCTGCTAACATTAACATTTCTGTTAAAAAGTCTGGGCAAGCAAAGGCACCAACCATAGTTCTGGTTAATTAAAAACTGAAAGCTGGAAAAGCACTACAAGTGCTTCAAACTTCGATGCATTATTAATTATCTAGCCTCAGCCGATATAATGTCGCTGATCTGCCATTGATAGAAAAAACAATTCACATTCTTTAAGAAAATCAATCATTTATGTTGAAATTGGTGGAAAAACTGGTGTCCTATGGTGGAAGAACAAGGTAACCGAGTGCACCCACCCTTCGATTTCTGGGTTAGTAAACATGTATAGTCATCGATATTTTCGATTTTGAATCGAGTGCTGGTCCACCTCTACCGTTTGTTTTTTTTGTTGTTGTTTTTTTTTGCCGAAGAAAGTCAGAACGTCGCGAAAGTGCTCCTAATTTTTGCGAATGCAGAAAGTGCAGACAAAACTGAAAAGACGTGAGTGACGAAGTGCGTGCACTGCATTTGTTTACGATTCTCCTGCCCAAAAGGGACGAGGTGGAGTAGTGGAGCGGGAGGCGGTGAGACACGCAACGTGCAACATTGTGTGCGTGGGATTGTTTGTTTGTTTGAGTGACGAAAATACAACAAGTGCAAGCGACAAAAGCAACAACAAAAAAAAAAGAAGCAACTCTTTTGAAACAATTCAGCAACAACCAAAACAAAAGGAGTGAGCGAGAGGGCCAAATAGCGGTTGTTGTTGTTGCCTCACACTGATAGCAATGATTAATGAAGAAGCCACCGCTGCAACAACAAATCAAGTAAGACATGCCGCTTAACTAATCATTTTTGGGGAATTATTGGGACTCGTTCTTATCTGGAATTTCGGTTGTATAGTTTTGATTTTCGTGTTTTGTTGCGGCATTTTTAATTCGCTTCTAAGTCACCTACGTGGCCTTGTTAAAAAAAATGTTTATTATTTTTGATGCTAACTGGAAAACATAAAGTGTAACTCTCAGTATTACTCAATCAGTTGTTTATGATTAATGACTAATCCGCTGTTGAATATACCGCTTACCAAGCTTTGAATACTTTTTTATGCAAATATTTTTAACACATTTTTTTTACCAATTTACGTAGACATTCATTAAAATATTTTTCCACTTTCATTTTGTTTTTGAAATATATAAAGTTATGCTAAACTGTCCACTGCAACACCAGAAAGTTAAAGACGCTTTAGACGTTATTTCTTTAAATTCGTTATCATCTGGAAAATTTTTGAACTAGCACTTTTGTGATTGATATATAGGACAGTTCTCTGTATGATTTACTTGGCCCGTCCCACAGATACGTGGCTGAACTTCAGTCTAAAATAGTGTGTTTTTTTTGGAAGACCAAATGTTCAACAGCTGCTGTAAATAAACAATTTCTTGAAATTACCAAAATAATGGCTTACGTTTCCCAAATAGATTTTTGTCATCCTAATCAATTCAACATTGCGCAATCAAAAAACAAAATATATTACAACTAATCGTAAAATATATTTCAATAAAAAAAAGTAACAACAAGCTTATTAAAATTAAAAGATCAGAAAACAGAAACGTTTCACAACGTTAAAAACAAATCAATTTATTAGTTTTTTATTTATGAATGTAAATTTATTACTTTATTATTTTAATTTTGCCCTGTTTTGTATTCAGTGCAGCTTTAATAACTTGCACCACTATTTGTACTTCGTTCGAAAACTTTTTAATTTAATTGATTGAGTTTTCAGTTACCAGTTAACTTTTTTTCCACGCTATCGAAAACTTGGCGTTATTTTTGCTGCGGTTTCTGCTCCTCCTGTTCCTCTTCTTCTTTCCGTTCTTGTTGCAACTTCTTCTTCTTCCTAATGAGAGTGCTTCAATTTCAATGCAGTTTTTTATTTTTGCAACTCGCGCGTTTTTTTTTTTCTTCTTATACACATGTGTGAAAATCTCCAGCTGTGTCCCAGTATGTGTGTGTGTGTGTGAGTGTGTGTGAGTATGCGATTTAAAATTGCTAAAAGGGGCGCTTCATTTGTTCGCCGCCCTTTTGCGCCCCCTTTTGCCACGCCCCTCTTCCACCTTTGGGCGGGATTTTCGTTTTATTTTGTCAAAGTTTGTTGCACTTTTCGCAGTCAGCGCGCGAACAAGTCCTTTGCATCCTGTTTCCTTTTGTTTCCTCTTCTGCACCCTTCCACATTCCCATCTACTTTTTTTTTATTTAATATATTTCTTCTTTCAACAATTAGTCGCAGCTGCTGGAAGTGCAGAAATGCAAAAATCCAGAAATGCAGCGGTAGAAACAGACACAGAAACGGCGATAGTAGACAAAAGGGTACAGTAAAACCCCCGATAAACAGACACTCTTAACTTTGAATATTGCAACGCCAGTAAAACAACATAAAAAAGGAAATGTTAAAATCCATCAAGTTTTATTTATTGGTACATTAACATAACTATATATTCAAAAATGTATTTACCCGTAGGATGTGAAAACCACTCTAAAATGTGTCTTGAAAACAAAATGTGTCTAAAAACAAAACATTTTGTTTCTGTAGTCAATTATAAATCATTCAAAGCTAAATTATGGTGCATTATTATTTATTAGCCTTTTTAGTGATTTCAAACCCATAGAGTTTCCTGTAGCTCCCTCAATCTTTTTCTGCCGGAACAAAAGTGAACAAAAAATTCTCTTTTTTACCAATTACCACTAACGGGAACTCCACGAACTAGAAAACGCTTTCAAAAAGGGCGAACGACCACTGTATCTGCATCTGCCTCACATGCTCCTCCGCTGGCTTATTTATGTACATATTTCACTTGGCACTTGTTATATTTATACGCTCCACACACACACTTACACAGGTCTCCCCCCTTCCTCCTCCTTTTGCACCCATGTTCCTTTCACCCCCCGACTCCTTCGCCTGAGTGTCGTCATCAGTATGCCAGTTGTCACTTCATCTTTTTAAATGCGCCTCATGGTTTTCAATTTCGAGAAACAAGTGGCCCAAAAGTGCTGCTGCCCAAGTGCCCATATTACATGTACACTCTGAGAAATTACCTCGAAAATTAGCAGTTTCGTCTAATAGGTCTTAATTTGGGAATTACCTAAAAGTAAATAACATTCCATAGAGTTTTTATAAGATCAAGCAGTTGCTACTTACTAAAGTCAGTTTCTTTTAACTTAAAACTGTTGTCTAATTAAAACTGATTAAAAATTTCATAAAATATAATTATGTTTACAATAGGTATTCAAGAAACTTTAAGATTTTTCACTTTTGTGTTTACCTGTAGACTTTTGATGTACATCACAAGACCTTTAAATAAATGTTGCTTAAAGAAGTTTAATTATTTTTATAAGCTAAAGACTGATTCCCAAGTTGAAAACATTTGAAAGTAGCTCCAGAATAAGTATAAGATAAATGCGTTACAAAGACTTGCTTTATTTATATAATAAGATTATAAAATATCAATGACAAAAAGGAACTGAAGTGGGGAAAGTTTTGCCTCGACCCCACTGTAATTTTGATGCCACCCCCTTAATGTCTTACAATGACGCCTCTTTGCTTTCGGGCAAACTGCAGCCAAATGAAATTAGTCGTTGGAGCTGAGTTGCTTTAAAAGGAGCAGTGAACACGACAGATATACAGATGCAAACTCAATAAGCCAACTAAATGCAAATTTCAAATGCATCCGTTCAGCGCACAAACTCTCAGACGATTTGCACACTTTTCGCCAGCATTTTTACCCTGGCAACCGTCTCAAAGAAAAACTCCGCCTCAAAGTTTACCCCCCATCTCCATCTCCATCTCTATCCCAAACCCAAACCCCATCCCCATTCCCATTTCCATTTCGATCCCCATCCCGTTGCTCCAAACGCGGAATTCTTTGGAGCGGTGTAAAATCATTATTCGTCACGCTCAGATTGCCGTACTTGAACGGCCGGGTAGACGTGTTCGCATACAACTCTATAACTCTGTCACACTCACCTGGTCTTTTGCATTCGGAGGTTCCCAAGGAAAAACTATGACAGCCGATGGCGGGTTATTGAGGTGTGAATCCACCTGGGGGGAAAAACGGGGGGCAAATGGGAGGGGCTGCATTTGCATGATTTTGGCGGAGCAGATGGCTTGCATTCGGTCGGTATAACAGTTTAAACTTTCGTGTTAGAACGCCCTTAAAATCTTTGGTTTAGCTATAAAACGAAATGATTTTGGCTCAGAACATGTCCCCTGAGGGAGAACTTTAACACTTTAAGACACGTTTTTACACCCAGTTAATTTAAAGTACGTTTTTATACAAATTTTAACCAAATCTTTAACATTCTTTAAAAAAAAATTTGGAACTAAATATGCAATACGAAAACAATATAGTATGCTTACAACCTATAGTAGGTATATACTATTTTGTCTGCCAAAACTAACGAAATAAAATATAATATGTTAAAAAACAAATTTAATCTTAATTTTCAATAAACTTTCTTAAAGATTGCAAATCCATTTGGATTTATTGAAAGCAATTTTACCGGTATTTCTCCGATGAAAATCTTACTTTCTTGCTGGAGCTTACCGATGGAATCTGCACACCTGTTGATTTGAACAGATTGTGTTTTGGCCAACTTCTCCTGATATAATTTCTTTGGAGTAACGTGACCATCACATACACTCGTGCCTTTAATGGCCACTTTAGGCCCGAACAAAAGAAAAACCGAAACAGTGAAATTAATTATGAACAAAAACATTGCGCATTTATCATCATTCATTCATATTAACTTGGCCTATCAGCATTTTTCATCGTTCCCTCAAATCGCGGGCCATTAAAGGCCGGAAAGAAATAAAACGAAATGAATATGAGAATAACGAAAATTAAGGCAAATATGCAAAGGGCGACACGCTACGTTGACTGTTTGTTCTGAGCTGGCCAACAAAATTTGGCTGATGGCCTCCAAAGGAAGCCAGTTTTTTGGTGTTTCTTTTTTTTTTGGTGAAGTAAGAAGGACAGCCTTCGCAATTGCACAAATTGCCTCGGCGAAGGGAGGGAAAATTCGGGGAAATACCCCGACAGGGAAAAGGAAACTCCTTGGCTCCATTAAAAGTTGGGCCATTTGACATCGGGCGCGTTAGCCCTCCTCTTTGGTTCCCCAAAAAAAGAAGTTTTAATGGCCTTTCCACGAAATCTTCTCTGGGACACGTAAGCCCTTTTGTCAAGCTTCTCTTTTACGCAAAAAAGTAAAAAAAAAAAATACGAAAGCACGCGAAAGTAGTGACGTAAAGCAGGCCATGCAAAAAAGAAGCCTTCACCGCAAAAAAAAAAAAAACATAATCTCAAAGCGAATAGAATTTCTCGACTTCTCGTAATGCTAATTAATTGTAAAATTAGGAACAGGTTTGGCAAACTTAAAGCCGCACACTGTCAAAAAGCTGCTAAAATTACCATTATGCAACTAAAAACAAATTGTTGAATAATAGTTTTTACATAAAATGAAGATCTCTTTACCGTATAGTGTTAATTCAAACTACGTATTACCACACTATTACTACTACCACATTTACTGAAATTATTAAATTTTTTCCAGTGCATGAAAGAGACGTCAAGAAACTCGTGCAAATATAATGTAATAATGGGGTTAATAGTTTGCCACTTCAAATCAATAAAAGTCTGAAATTATACATTCAGAAAAAAATGATGAACAACAAGCTCAATTAAATTATACTTAATTTCTCTATAAAATGTAATATTACCAAATCAAAAAATTATGTTATTATTAAAATGCAATATTAATTTCTTAACTTCTTATA